CGATTTCCGACCCGCACGACAGCAATACCCCCATGTCCAAGTTCGATAATATCGCCGCAGTCTTGAGACACAGGGGAAAGACGATGGCAAAGCTGCCCGCGTACTGGGTGCTGGACAGCAAGGGCAAAGAAATTGCCTCCATCACGTGGGACAAACTTGCGTCAAGAGCTGAGAAGGTAGCACAGGTCATTCGGGACAAGAGCTCGCTGTATCGCGGCGATCGCGTTGCCCTGATTTACCGCGACACTGAAGTCATTGACTTTGCCATTGCTCTGCTCGGTTGCTTCATTGCTGGCGTCGTCGCCGTGCCGATCAATGACTTGCAAGACTATCAGAAGCTAAACCTGATCCTCACATCGACGCAGGCGCATTTGGCGCTCACGACCGACAACAACCTCAAGGCCTTCCAGCGTGACATAACAACACAGAAGCTTAATTGGCCCAAGGGTGTAGAATGGTGGAAGACAAACGAGTTTGGCAGTTTCCATCCCAAGCGCAAAGACGACGTCCCGCCTTTGACGGTTCCAGACTTGGCATATATTGAGTTCTCGCGGGCGCCCACGGGTGATCTGCGAGGCGTGGTCCTGAGTCATAGGACAGTCATGCACCAGATGGCTTGTTTGAGTGCCGTCGTTACGACAGTGCCAGGAAACGGGCCTGGTGATACCTTTAGTCGAACCTTGCGCGATAAGAACGGCCGGCTCATCGGTGCTGGAGCAACCAGCGAGACGCTTCTCTCATACCTGGATCCTCGACAGGGTATAGGCATGATTCTGGGTGTCCTTCTCACCGTTTACGGTGGTCACACAACGGTGTGGGTTGAGAACAAGGCCGTCGAAGTACCGGGGCTCTACGCTCATCTCATCACGAAGTACAAGGCCACACTCATGATTGCCGACTACCCCGGTCTGAAGCGTGCCGCCTACAACTACCAGTCAGATCCCATGACGACACGAAATTTCAAAAAGGGCATGGAGCCCAACTTCCAGACAGTCAAACTGTGTTTAATCGATACCCTCACGGTTGACGGTGAATTCCACGAAGTACTGGCAGATAGATGGCTGAGGCCACTGCGAAACCCGCGAGCTCGCGAGGTAGTCGCGCCAATGTTGTGCCTGCCTGAGCATGGTGGCATGGTGATCAGTATTCGCGACTGGCTAGGAGGCGAAGAGCGGATGGGCTGCCCATTGAAGCTGGACATGGGGTCCGACATTGACTCCGACGAGGAAGAGAAGGAAGAGGTGAAGCTTGCACCCTCAAATGGCTTCGGCAGTCTCTTGGGAGGCGGCGGCACCACCACCACAGAGCAGCGCGCTAAGAACGAACTGAGTGAGGTGCTCCTCGACAGAGAAGCGTTGAAGACGAATGAAGTTGTGGTCGTAGCAATCGGAGACGAAGCGCGAAAACGAGCTGCTACCGAACAGGGCACTGTTCGCATTGGTGCTTTTGGATACCCTATACCCGATGCCACCCTCGCGGTCGTCGATCCGGAAACCGGCTTGTTGGCATCACCACATTCTGTCGGAGAAATCTGGGTGGACTCGCCATCACTATCAGGAGGCTTTTGGGCTCTGCCAAAACACACGGAGCAAATATTCCACGCTCGACCTTACAAGTTTGATCCCGGCGAACCAACACCCACTGTTGTAGAACCCGAGTTCTTGAGAACCGGTCTGCTGGGCACGGTCATCGAAGGCAAGCTATTTGTTCTTGGCCTTTACGAAGATCGCATTCGTCAAAAAGTCGAATGGGTCGAGCATGGCACCGAAGTAGCGGAGTACCGGTACTTCTTTGTTCAACATCTCGTCGTCAGCATCGTCAAGAATGTGCCCAAGATCTACGATTGCTCTGCGTTTGACGTGTTTGTCAACGAGGAGCATCTACCCATTGTTGTCTTGGAATCACCAGCTGCCTCCACAGCGCCTCTGACTTCAGGCGGGCCGCCCAGGCAACTCGATACTGCACTGCTCGACTCCCTCGCAGAGAGATGTATGGATGTATTGATGCAAGAACACCACTTGAGGCTCTACTGTGTCATGATCACAGCACCAAACTCTCTGCCCAGAGTAGTCAAGAATGGACGTAGGGACATCGGGAATATGCTTTGCAGAAGAGAATTTGACTTGGGCAACCTGCCCTGTGTTCATGTCAAGTTTGGTGTTGAGCACGCGGTACTCAACCTCCCCATCGGAGTTGATCCCATCGGAGGCATTTGGTCTCCCATTTCATCTGATTCGCGTGCTGGGATTCTCATGTCATCCGACAAGCAATACTCGGGTATCGACCGGAGAGAAGTTGTCATTGACGATCGCACCTCAACGCCGCTGAACAACTTCTCTTGCATCACTGACCTGATTCAATGGCGCGTTGCCCGTCAGCCCGAGGAACTGGCATACTGCACCATTGATGGTCGTGGCAGAGAAGGCAAGGGCGTGACTTGGAAGAAGTTCGATACCAAGGTTGCGGCCGTGGCCCTGTATTTGAAGAACAAGGTCAAGGTTCGCCCCGGCGACCACCTGATTCTGATGTACACGCACTCGGAGGAGTTTGTCTACGCCGTTCATGCCTGTATCAACCTGGGCGCGGTCGTCATTCCGTTGGCTCCTCTGGATCAGAACCGCCTTAACGAGGACGTGCCTGCATTCTTGCATGTTGTCGCCGACTTCCGTGTCAAGGCTATCCTGGTCAATCACGAAGTTGATCACTTGGTCAAGCTGAAGCTGGTTTCCAACCACGTCAAGCAAGCCGCTTCAATTCTCAAGATTGGTGTGCCGAATTACTTCAACACCACCAAGCCGCCAAAGCAAAGCAGTGGTCTGCGGGATAATGGCATCACCATGCAGCCTGCCTGGATCCAGCCTGGATACCCTGTAATTATCTGGACCTACTGGACGCCCGACCAGCGCCGTATCGCGGTTCAGCTTGAACACGACACCATCCTTGGCATGTGCAAGGTCCAGAAGGAGACTTGCCAAATGACGAGTTCCCGCCCCGTGCTGGGATGTGTGCGTAGCACCACTGGTCTGGGTTTCATTCACTCATGCTTGATGGGCATCTATATCGGCACCCCCACATATCTCCTCTCGCCAGTCGAGTTTGCGCAAAACCCAATGTCGCTGTTTGTGACTCTTTCTAGATACAAGATCAAGGACACCTATGCGACGCCACAAATGTTGGATCACGCCATGGCCACGATGCAGGGCAAGGGATTCACGCTCCACGAGCTCAAGAACATGATGATCTCGGCCGAGAGCAGGCCACGAGTGGACGTGTTCCAGAAGGTACGGCTTCATTTCGCGGCTACTGGCCTCGACCGAACCGCCATCAACACTGTCTACTCCCACGTGCTCAACCCCATGGTCGCGTCGAGGTCTTACATGTGCATCGAGCCTATTGAACTCTGGCTGGACACAAAGGCACTACGCCGCGGTCTGATCTACCCCGTAGATCCCGAGCAGGATCCTAAAGCGCTTCTGCTCCAGGACTCCGGTATGGTGCCTGTGTCTACACAAATCGCTATTGTGAATCCCGAGAGCCGACTACTCTGCCACGATGGCGAGTACGGAGAGATTTGGGTCGACTCGGAGGCTTGTGTCAAGGCTTTCTATGGCTCAAAGGATGTGTTTGACGCCGAGAGATTCGATGGCCGCACCGTAGATGGTGACCCCAGCATCCAGTACGTTCGTACGGGCGACTTGGGTTTCTTGCATAACGTCAGCAGGCCTATCGGCCCTGGAGGCGCACAGGTGGATATGCAGGTCTTGTTCGTTCTCGGCAACATTGGAGAGACGTTTGAGATCAATGGCCTCAGCCACTTCCCCATGGACATCGAGGCTTCTGTGGAACGGTGCCACCGCAACATCGTAACTGGTGGATGGTAAGTTGGCGGTTCCCATCAGTACTGTTATTATGCTAACAACACGTAGCGCCGTCTTCCAAGCCGGTGGTCTTGTCGTTCTACTGGCCGAGATTACTCGAAAGGCGTACCTCGGTTCTGTTGTGCCAGTCATTGTCAACGCGATTCTCAACGAACACCAGATCATTGTCGATATCGTCGCATTCGTTAACAAGGGCGACTTCCCACGATCGCGTCTCGGCGAGAAACAGCGCGGCAAGATCTTGGCCGGCTGGGTCACCCGTAAGATGCGTACCCTGGCACAATTCGCCATTCGAGACATGGACCCCAACAGCATTATTGGTGGTGACCCTGGCGCAGATGGACCCGACCCTCATAGGGCCTCTGTCAGTAGCCAGAGGAGCATGACAATGAGCGGCCTGGCGCCTGGCTCTTCAAGCCTGCGCAACGTCGAACATGCACCGCAAATTCTGGAGCAGGAAGAGTTTGAGCATCAGGTCGGACAGATGGCAGCTCTTCCCCAACAGAGCCAAGACGGCATTGCAGAGATGCCCGGTGACGAGGGCCCTGCATTCGCACAGCAAGCGAACGCGCCGTCGGGCCACGGCTACGTCTTACCAGATTTTGATTCGTTTGGTCGCGAAGACGGCGGTCCCCCGCCTGTAGGTGCCAAACCGGGACAGACCCCGCCGACGATCCACCTCCCCGGAGTTGACGGCCGAGAGAGCATGGATTTGTGGAAGAATCAACAAGGCGGCGGTGGCCAGGGCGACGAGGACTGGACGGCCCAGGCCCTCATGCACATGAACCTCGCCAACGACCTGGAGAGAAAACAGGGCCAGCAGCATTAAGGGGGCGGTCTTTCAAACAAGATTTTTTCTCTATCATGTTGATTATTTTTCCTTCTTTTTGCAAGCACACGGGTCTTGGGAGACATTAGCTGTGGGCGTCTTTGGGCGTCTTGGACTCATGAATGCACTGGTCTTTGCGGCATAGGAGGTAGTATTTGGATAGAGGATTCCCCTGTGCATACTCACTCGAACCTCGAGAAAAGATCATTGTTAATTCATTATTATTCACTTTTACGTTGCTTTGTATGTGATTTTACGGGCATCTTCTCGTTCCAATGATCTATCTACTCTAATTATCGCGAATTTCTCATGCTCTCCTGGATGAAGCTCGACTGAACAATGATCGACCCCCCATTGATGTTCTCCTCCGACCCGGACCCAGCAGACAAATTCTTGACACCACTAGATCCAGCCGTAATACGATTCGTAAGTCCAATCTCATCATCCGAATCCCCACCCAACTTCATCTTCCCATCCCCCCCACCGCCAAAGTTAAACCTCGACCCGCCATATGTGAACATGGCGCCCGACCCCTTTTGCGAGCCGCTGTTCTTTCCTCCACCGGTGCCCGATTTGGATCTCCATGGTACGCTGTTGGAGGAAGGGCCGCCACCAGCACCGCCTCCGCCGCTGGAGGAACGTCCAAGGGAAGAAGAGATTTTGTGGTGGACGAGACGGCGGAGGGGTGCCAGGTGCGGGAGGCAGGCGGAGACGATTGCGATGGAGGGTTCGATTGCGGACCAGATGAAGACGGGGCCCATTTGCCATGTGATGTCGAGGGCGTGGGAGAAGGTTGAGAGGTAGGTTATTCGGACTATGCTTGCTACGCAGACGCTGGGGGGGTTCAGTTAGTATGGATGTCGTGTATGCGTATCGATAATGATTGCTATTGGAAATAGGGGGTAGCGAAAGTAAGGGGAGACAAGGGGTTTGACTTACAAACTTCCTAGCAACATGATACTACAAACTGCAGCCTTCTTCCGTCCCGACATTTGCAACTTTAGAATCTGCGGGATGGGAATTAAGAGGACGATGACGTCGTTGACCATATTGATGATGGCGAGCGCCAGATAGAAAGTGTTGATGTCGATGCATTTCCCCTGTTCGCCCACGAACTGGTTCCAGTAAAATGATATTGGGCTGCACGCGTTGGCCATGGTGGCCCAGATGATGATGGGGTAGGCGATGGAGAGGACGTAGCCCAAGGTCAGGGAGATTTTGAAGGACGGGGAGGAGGCGGTGGAGAGGAGGAAGATGCGTTGGTAGAAGAGGAGGATAGAGATTTTGGTGGCGGCACAAGCTGTGCCGTAGATGAAGGTGTAGGCGTAGAGGATCTGTGGTTTGGGGGTTATTATGACGTTTGAAGCTATGGTCACCTCCTTCTATGATGATGGGAATAGCGTCAAGGAACAGGGGGAAGGGGAAGTTACCTTGAAGACTTGCGTTAGGTTTAGAGGTGTGAATGACCAGACGTGATTTCCTGCGCCGTAGGCTCCGCCTGCGATGCTTAAGCCGACTGTGGCACCAACGAGGAGCTGTGACGAGATATCGTTAACACTATCCCATGAAGGAGAAGAGAGTATTGTCCGTCGAAGTTGCAATGAGACAATGGTCTGCTAACGTTGTTACTCACAAGTGAGGCAAGAATTGCCCAATCATCTGCTTTCAGACTATGTCCTTGGAGAAACCTCGCCATCAGCCGTAGTACCACAGCGACGGACGCCAGTACGGCGAGGATTATGACGGCGGCATTGTTGCGAGTGACGCTGCTTTCTGAAATGTCGAGGTCGTCTGGAGGAGGACCGAATATGGCGACGATATTGGGATCAAGTTCCATTATCGACGACCAGATGGCTGTGGTGGCGGTGGTGTGAAGCGGGAAGGGAAACCGGAACACCACCACATGAAGGACTACGAGGAGCTTTCAGTTTCTTTGGGTGACATCTTTTCCTATGAGATCCTCAGAGTGGTTTTTTCTTCATAGGATCTCAAAATTGGGTCGAAGAATCATTGCGGCACAGTCTAGTGCCTAGGGCGCGCGAAGAAAAGTAAATATGATGCATGTTGGAGGAGTCGTATGTACTTTCGACCCAGGTAAACCCGTGGCATTCGCAGTTGGCTACATATAATCTCCACCGTGATGCTTCCGTGCACTGTTGCATTCGCATCGACAGGCACGCTGCTCGGGTTTTCCAACGGTCTTGCCAGAAAGAGCCTATATGTTGGGGCTCAAGAGAAACGAAGAAAGGGCCTGGAAAAGCTGTTGGTGCCCAGTTGTGCCAGTCTCTTCCGTCTGGTTTGCTTGTCAAGAGAGGGACAGGGTTCAAAATGCTGTTGGTGCTGGGTAGGCAGGCCCGGAGTTCCGCATGGCGTGATGATTCCAGTTGCGGTCTCGCCAAAGGCCCCAAAGGGCGACAATGTGGATCATTTCTGATTTCTTCCGTTCAAGGATTATATGCACAGACGGGGCAGCTCTATGTTGGGGGGAGGTTATTGTGTCCATAATTCCCCTGGAGTCTTGATACTCCATGTTCGTTGGTGCGCGTCCCACGCATGCAGGAACGAGAGTGTAATGAGGGGGAAATGATGAGCTGGCTAGAACGAGAGTGATGCCCAGACTTCTGGCAATCAACACTACTCGATTGCCTTCTTGATGAAGTGCCCAGCAAGCCTTGGATGTGACAGAGTATCCTCGTCGTCAGAAAGACATGTTTGTTTCAAAGCGTAAAATGGCGACTCGAGAACGCGATGGGACGAGTATTTCGGAAAGAGGAAGATGGCCTAAGTCTGAAGATTGCAACGTCGTGGAGCCGCTGATCCTGCCGTTCTTCACCAACGGCCCGTCTGACTGCCTTGTCTCGGGGAACAAGGGGTACGAGTCCCGCAATGCAAGGATTAAAATATCACATGCGGCTTCCTCTTCGCGGTCCACTTCTGTCTCCTGCGAGGAATCACATATGACGAACATGTCTAGATTGGTAGGTCTGTTGCTGGGGCGTAGTCTATTGACATCTTCAAGTACAAAATGTGTTCAATTGTCTATGTTGACCGAGAGCCATGCAATTCCGCGAAATACTTTCGAGTTTTGCATTTTCGGCTCGAGATGATTCAATGAAAGCTGTGCCTTCTCCGTTCTTGTGGCTCCTGCTCTATGTGGGATGAAGGAAGTCCATCCTGGTTTTTGTTGGAACCGGGATCACAAAAGGCAAAACGTGGTTGACGGTGTATCTCATCCCGTTGAGGCAGGGAAAAGGACTTCGACAAGTTCCACTCTTTGGTACCAAGTCTCTGAAAAGAGTGTCTTCATGCAGGTCCCCTGGAGTCATTGCCTTCTGTAGTGGAGGATTGCGATATGTTATGACCTGATTTAAATGTACGGGTGCGGCGTGGCTGGCATTCGTTGCAGGATGGTCTGGAGCGTCCGGACAAAGGCACAGCGATGGACTACAAGGCTTTGATATAATTACACCCGCCATTCTTGTGCCTTTGCTATCCCAATGCCCTTCTCAGCTCAGGACTTCTGCATAAACTTCTAGCACGTCAACAACTATGGGTTCCTTATCAGGCTTCACGGAGATCCCGGATCTCACGCCCCTCGAGCGTATCGGACCCAAGGGCTACCTTCGATATGTCTTCCCTTTCCAGCTTCCCGAAGACTATAACCATGAGCAAGCCGCATCTATCCTCCGCGCAGGGTATGAAGCTGCGCAACAGCGTATCGCTGTTTTGGGATGTGAAGCTGTCCCGAACCCAGACGCCAAGCAAGCTGGTATCTTGAAGCTTCAGAGACTGCGTCATGGAGACATCGAAGGCATCACCGTCAAGGATCTTCGAGCTCCCGGCGCTTTCCCCATGACGTACAAGGAACTCAAGTCCAAGAACTTCCCAGTGGCTTCCTTTGACGCCAACACAATCTGCCGGCGCTCGGTATGGGCAACTCCGGATGAAAGGCTGCCCGTGTCCCTTCCTCAAGCCAATTTCATTCAGGGAGGCCTGATTCTATCCTGGTGTATCTTTCACATGTTCGGAGACGGGAAGACGTTCCTGATCTGGACCAAGATCTGGGCAGAGGAGTGCCGCAGGGCCCAAGGCCTTCAAATCACAGATCCTTTCAAGCTCGATGAAGCTTTCCTCAGAGACCGGCAACGCATCATGAGCCCGACCGGCAAGAACCCGGGCCGCGCGGAAGACCACCCCGAGTACACCATCATCCCCTTCACGCCAGAGAGCATGCCACCAAAGATCCTCTCCGAAGACCACCGCGGCCAAATCTTTTACTTCTCGCCCGGTGCCCTTGCCAGACTCAAGGCCGAAGCTTCCCCAGAAAACGCTACGGAACCCACGAAACAGAGATGGGTCTCCACCAACGACGCGCTCTCGGCACTGCTCTGGCGTACCGTCATGGCGGTGCAGTCGCCTCTCGAGACCCTTGAGGGAGACCCGGTCTCAGTCTTCAATATCGCCGTCGACGCCCGCCTGCGTACTGACCCACCGGTACACCCGGAAACCATGGGCTGCTTCCTGGGTTACGTGGCGGCCTCGGTGCCCATTCGCAAGATGCTCGGTTCGGCATCCCTGGCTGACCTGGCAATCCTCGTCAGGCAGGCGTTGATCCGCGCGGATAACCAGTTTGTCGATGACGTGGCTACGCTCATTGACACTGTGGAGGATGTGAACCGCATTATCCCCACCGCTCTCTTGGATGTGCCTGGGAACAATTGCATTCAGACATCGTGGGTCAACTTCTCGCTTTACGATGTGCAGTGGGGGCAGGTTCTCGGCGACACGATCCAGGCTGTCCGCGCGCCGCATGTTGGTGTGATCAACGGTTTGCAGGTCGTTATGCCTATTCTGCCGGACGGTGGAATGGAGATCCTGGTGGGAGTTGAGAAGGACTGCTTGGATAGGTTGTTGCATGAACCCCTCTGGATGAAGTATGCAGAGACGAGGTGAACGGAATTTGTGAGTGGTGTCAATTGGGGGTACAAATGAGTTACGTGACGGATTGTGACAACTACCTTTAGCTTGACTAATAATGTGACTGTGTTATTTTCATTGCATGTATCTATCATACGATGTGCTGTTCTTCCTATGACCTTCAATTATCTCGTCCAATATGCACTTGTTTCGGATTAGACCTGTACCAGACTTAAGCTAAGTCTGGAACTTCTCATCATCGAATCCAAAGAAACGCAAAGTTTTCATGTAGTAGTAACACTTATCAACGACTAGATGATGACTTCATGAATGGAGCCTCTCAGTTTTGAATTCTTCGCTACCTTTTTCCTGATGATACAGCGAGTAGGAAAGGCGTATACTTGACCTCGTTTTCCATTGTAGTATGCTGTCACTCATTCTGACATGAGTATTGTTAATTCCCTCAATTCATGACACATTGATCCCCATCATCCCACGTACCAGACTTCCCAGGCTCATAAGAGGCTTTCCAGTCTACTATCGTGAACCACAGACTTTGACCAAACTCTGAGTTGAGACCTACTAAAAAAATTTCAAAACGGAAAGAGAAAAGCATTGGGCAGTTGCATGGATCTGATGAGCCATATCTGTGCCAAAATCCAGCTTAAAGGGCTCATTGAGACTCGTCCGAGTCAGCTCTCCCAACCCTTACCTGGCTGACATGTGTGCACCAGGTGAAGAACTCTGAGCAATATTTTGCTGTAGTAATCTGACTGATGAAAATCTTCTATAATCGACGAATCGGATGGATTACTAACGTTTGACGTTTGTCGTCTGAAGTAAAACGAAGCATTGCGATTCGAGTGGATGAGAGGACACAGGTAAGACATGGATATAAACTCAGATTTGAGTTCACCGGGGTTCGAAATTAGTGCCGCATAAAGCTGTTGATGGTAGTAAACCTAAAACCCCCTGATAGCCCCTCAACGGACAATACCCATCGGCTCCCGCCCCCCGAGCCAGATATTACAGTTGAGATGGATCTCCAAAATTGTCTTCTGGGGGCCTTCACGGATCATCTTCATCAATCGCTGCGTAGCCTCGTCTAGGGGCCTTTCAAGTCACTCGTTATCGTCACTCTTTTGTAACAATGTTCAGCGAAACCCTCGTTGCAGTCCTCCTCCTGCTCGAAGGCGTTGACTCCCACCGGCATCATGGATTTCATAGCCACGGGGAATTGAGACGCTCAGTCATACATAGCCCAAGAGCAGACGAAGAAGCAGCGAGGCGAGGATCAGACAACGTTTTTGTGAAAATCTCCCACGACCGGCCAATTCTAGTCCCATCAAGAGCAGATCATCCCCAGAAGCCTGTCGGAGTCGATAACAAAGACAGCCCCATCCAAACCAACAAGTTCTACGCGAACTTCTTCGCAAACAACCAAGATAATGCGACGTGGACTCACCCTTACTCGGTCTGGTGGTCCAACGATACCGTCAAGCAGGGCCATGGGCTGTCAATTTCTCATACGGATCGGCGCGACTTCATCTACGGGCCTGGAGAGCCCGTTCAATCTTTCGAGGATCCATTCTTTGATCAGTCTATTGCCCTTTCGGCGCGAGAGCTGCAGAATGGAACGGTTTTGACTACGGACTCATTGACAGCGTTCTCCGCCAATGTCAACCTTGCAACGAGAAAAGGCGCCAAAGCGCTTGTCTCATTTCCCGTAGTTCAGGGGATGGCGTTCGTCACAGGCATTTATAACGACGCCACCGTTCTCATCCAGTCTCAAAAGCAATTCTATAACATCACCGACCTTCGCTTGAGTCCTCATGGCCTTGGGGCCACAGTATATGGGTGGAATGCTCGGTTGGGCGATGGGTCGAACTGGTTGATCTACCTTAATCCAACTATCACGTCTGAGAGACCAACTCTTCGAATGACCGATAAAGGAACCATTTTGGGTCCAAAACAGTTCACTGGAACTGTTCAAGTAGCCAAGAATCCAGCAGGCAGAGCCGGCATCGACGTCTTCAGCAAGGCCGCTGGGGCATACCCGGTTGGCGCCACACTCTCGGGCTCTGTGTCTGGCAAGACTGGAACCTACACCCTGGCGTGGGAAAAGAAGGGGATAAAGCAACAATCACTTCTCATGTTTGCTTTACCGCATCATGTCAAGTCATTTGACACAAAGACAGCCAGGGGTCTCACGAATATCACACTGGCCAGTACGACCAAGGGGATTGCCACAGCTACGCTTGCGGACGAGTTCACCATGGTGGAACATGACCTTCCAACGGACATTGGCTTCGATCCGTGGTCACCTCGTCTCGGATCAGTAGGATCCGCGGGCTCAGCGGCAATGGTTTCAGAAGACGCTAAAACAGCCATTATTAGTGCAGCGAAGATCGAGCTTGCTCGGGACATTACGACCCTGACCAACTTGACATCCAAGTACTATGCTGGAATTGCCTTTTCAGTATACGCGAGGGCGATTTATGCTGTCAACAATATTGCCGGCGATACTTCATTCACGGCTAGCTCACTCACCAAGCTTGAGGCTGCGTTTGACAAGTATGTCAACAATCAAGAGCCAAACCCCTTATTTTACGACGACGTATGGAAAGGCCTGGTCTCTTCGGGATCGTATGGCAACAACGACTCTTCGATTGACTTTGGTAACACATATTACAACGATCACAACTTTCACTACGGCTACTACGTGTATGCTGCTGCAATTATTGCGCACTTCAACCCATCTTGGTTGACAAAGAACGATGGCCTAAACAAGATTTGGGTCAACAATTTGATCCGCGACTGGTCCAACCCATCGACTGAAGACCCTTTCTTTCCTTTCTCACGAAATTTCGACTGGTTTCACGGCCACAGCTGGGCCAGAGGCGTCCTAGAGGCGCCGGACGGCAAAGATCAAGAGTCCTCGGCCGAGGATGCCTTCTCGACGTACGCGATCAAGATGTGGGGCAAAGTTATTGGTGACGCCAAGCTCGAGGCCCGAGGCAATCTTCAACTTGCGGTGACGGCGCGCAGTCTTCAATCGTACTTCCTCATGGCAAGCGATAACGATGTGCAACCGCCTAACTTCATCGGCAACCGCGCCACGGGCATTCTCTGGGACAGGAAGATCAACCACACGACGTACTTTGGCGACGAGATCGCCTATATTCAGGGCATTCACATGCTTCCAATTGTGCCGAGCAGCGCATATGTACGTAAGGCTTCCTTCGTGCGTGAGGAATGGGATCAGTACTTTGCTGGCAACAAGTCGGGGTCTCTCACTAGCGGTGGTTTCGCGGGCCATGTGTACGCGAACCTCGCGATTGCGGATATGGCTGGTGCGGTTGAGAGTTACGAGTTCATGAAGAAGCAAACCCCTAGCAGCCCCTACCTCGACGGGGTGAGCTTGACTTGGAACCTCGCTTACACGGCGGCGTTGGGAGGCAGCCTGGGATCTAACTCGACTTTGAACTCAACGAGCGGAGCGGTCTAAAGAGAGATCTCAGATACTTGCTTCGTGGTGATAGTCGGAGTACGCAAGAGCTAGATCTCCGAAGCCATGCCTATATCTTTTCCCAGAGGAAGGGCTTCGCGGAGTTGAGAAGCGATTTGAACTAGAAGAGTCAGTCGCATGTTCACGTATAAATGCTGCAGCCCAAGGAGCAAGATCTGTAAACCCACGAGCAATTTTCCACCTTCTTGAAATGCGTTCCGAGAGCATTTGTATCACCTCACGTAATAAAGTCTCGGTATCACGACCATAGTATTTGCTGAGTAGGATTGCCGCTAATCCGACCATTTTATACAAGATGACTGCAGTGAGAGGCATTCTGTCGAGTTTGAGGATGTCCACAGTCTTCTCCATACGCATCAGATCATGAGCAATGGTAAGAGCCATTTCAAGAGCTGCAATGGACGATTCTTTTACGAAGAAAGGAAGCTCTCCACCGTCCGTGCATGTCAGCCTCTTCTCGTGGAGCTTTATCAGTGCCCTTCTCAATATCAGCTGTTGATCCTTGACGTAGGATTACTAGGGGGTTACCTGCAAGAGATAGACGGTAACCACGGTGTACTGGTGCTCCAGTCGTTTCCAAGTTATGGTCAGGGTTTCTCGAATTCTCTTCTGCACCAGCATGTCGAGCTTCCACGATCCATGGTCAAGGAGTGTCTCCAGTTCCACAGAAGGATCTCTTGTAAGCTGCATAACACTTTGCAGCGCATAAAACGCTTGTATTTCGCTGGAGAAGACCCCGCCGGTCTGAGCATCGTCCGCAGAAAAGGCAAGCAGTTGAAACGAGCCGCCTAGATCGAGGCCTTTACTCCACATCTCATCCTCTCTGGGAAGCATCGTACCGATTCGAGCATCGCGAACGAGTGGTGCTCGTTCAGAATTCCCGGTAGAATAGGAATCAAGTCTATCGAGAAAGTAGATGGCCCACCATACGCGCATTTTCTCTTCGTTGAGCACTGTAGCCGAATCCAAGAACTGGTGCAGGTTATTGATATAGCCAAGACTGGCACATATTGCCAGTGTGGCGTACGCGTCGGACACGAGGCCTCGACCCTGCTCGTAGATAGAGAGCAGTAGGCCTGACTGAATGATCTGTAGATGGCCTCTGGAACGTGTCTGTAATAGTAAGAATGATGATCTACAATCATCATAGAGCGATGGTAAAAGAGGTTCGTTGTATGGCGCCGAAGCAGAGGGGATCACCGGGGTGATGAGTAAAAGGTGTAAGAGCAGACAAGCGAGCTCGGCAGACGGTCTGCTCTGCAATGAGGCTGCTTGTTTACTCAAGCTGACTGGGTGGATGATTGGAATCCATTCGTGGATCGACCTTAAGTATCCATCCACCACTACCTCTATTTCGAGGCCGAGGACTTTGAGCGTGGCGAAAAGGTGTGCTGTGAGCAAGTAGTCATAGTCTTGGCGTGCTGCTAGAATCGGTCCTAGTAGAGAAGAAGAACTCTGATTTCCCTCCTTTTGAGAAGAGCCGTAGTGACATATGCTATTGTGACTATGCGGCATCAGTACTGTTAGCTCCTTGTAAGACTACACGCCCCTCCTACTTACTCGATGCACCGACTACAAGCCGGCAGTAGCCGATCGCAACCCTTCTTCTTTGTCGAGCACAATTGGCAAGCGTTCGGAGCCAAACTACCTGTTGACATGCTGTATTTAGTATGTGATCAAAGTTATCTGAACAATCGACACAATGGAGCGATCCAAGTAAAGTTCCGGAGCAACCCGCAGAAGACTTCATACTGCGGGTGGTTCCTGAAGAGTCAAGCTGCTGACAAACTGTTCCGGTTTGACCATTGAGCTAGTCCGCCGCTAGTCCGCCGCTAGTCCGCCGCTAGTCCGCCGCTGACCCGCCACTGGCAGAGCCAAGACCGGACCAACCCGCCGGAGTAGTGTCGGACAAGTGAAGTCTGGTGCCAGCAATGCTACGATGTTCCTTCAAGGGGTTGCAATATTCAGCCCGAGACCACATGCACTTGCCATCAGAGGCCGTTCCTCTCGTGATGGATACTTGTGTCTACTATTCAAACCATTGGTAACAATTTTTGTGGCTCGCCGACGGACTTTGATAGATCTTGGGGCCAACGCCATAAATAACCCAGTTATCCCTTCATTTACCTTGTGCCAAAATAGTCGAGGAAGGACCAGAACTATATTCATTGCTTGCAGATCTATAAAAATCATCAGAAACACCTCTCTTCTATCATCATGGCAGTTCCAGAGACACAACGCGCCCCATCCCTGTTCATCAGCCATGGAGCAGGCCCCCTCCCGCTCATCCACCCAGACTTGGAGAATTTTCGGCAGCAAGTCGCCAAACTGGGCAGCAGGCTCGATGGCGTCAAAGGAATTATCCTCCTTTCAGCTCATTGGGAATCCAACGAGCCCGAAATCACTGCCCTTGAGGACCCTGGTCTCTACTTCGACTACGGGACTGTAGCCGCAGCCCAAGCCCTCGTGCCACCCGAGGCCTACGAGACCAAATACCCTATCCTGGGAAACGCAGCATTAGCCACGGAAATCAAAAAGCGCCTTTTGGACTGCGGGTTTCAGCCGGTTCTAGATTATAAACGAGGCCTGGATCACGGTGTCTTTGTCCCGCTCAAGATCATGCGACCAAACGCAGACATACCGGTTGTCCAGGTGTCTGTTCTGACTGGGAAAAACGAGGAGGAAGCCACAGACAAGAACCTGCGCCTTGGCCGCGCCTTGGAGTACTTCCGAGACTTCGGGTACGCTATCATGGGAAGCGGTGGGTCATATCATGACTTCCTGACCATACAGGACGTGTTCCAAGGGGCTGGCGAGCTTCCTTCTGGGGCCGAAGAGTTTGAGGACTATCTCAAGTCCACGGCGGCAATCTCTGACGCAAGCACTCGAGAGGAGGCTCTTAAGCGCTGGCGGGAAACCCCGTCGAGCTATGTGTCTCATGTGAAAGCTGAGGCTGAACACTTTTGGCCGTTTCTCGTCGCAGCTGGCAGCGGGGGAGACACTGCTGGGCAGCAAATCCTCAAGCTCCTATCCCATGGCGTACCCATGAGCTTCTACGAGTGGTAAAAAATGGTGAGGGGTGGACAAAGGTGACTGATTGGCAGCGGGTGCCTTAGCTCTGGTTCTTGGACAACCATGGCTATGTACTTTTCATACCTTCATACGGAGCCAAGTAGCTTGCCTCGCCAGGGAATACAATTAAGGTGTTACTTCCAGAGTCCCCACGTGAGAGAGCGGCTGCCCAAGACTTCCTTCAACCAATCTCAACAGGTTTCGAACTGATGTAGAAGCCGTTTGATCTCGCCGGTGATTGGGGCGCCTCAACAACCGCCGGCTGTAACCTTACTGAGTCGCGGTTGTACGCAGGGGGCTGTGATAATGCCATCTCCTGCAAGTTGTCAAGAGCCTTCTGATGTCGCTTGAGAAACCTAAACTATGTGATGGCGCAAACCACGCAAGTGATCCTGATGACTCCAACACCAACTCCGATTCCAGCCTGCACTCCGACGGGCAGACCACCACCGCCGCCGCCGCCACCAGAAGTCCAGAAGGCTCAGCTATGCTACTCTGGCTGGCACTGGCAGTAGGTGTGCCAGAAGACACGGTCTACCCTCCACTGTCATTGGTTTGTTGGGTCGAGGTTTCTGTTGTAGGTATAGATGGAAGGGCTTAGGTACTTGTTGGAAGTTCGGATGGCGTTGTTATCATAGTCGTGGCTATTAACGACAATAGGGTCGCTGAGAGAATATCCGGCTCGTCGGTGATGTTGAAATACGCCGAGGACATTTGTTGAAAAGCGAAGCTCCCCTGATGAGAAGGATCTCCTTCGAATAGCCAGAGAAAGAAGACATTCGACGAGCCCAACTCTAAATTGTCCGCCGCGACTGTCCAAGTCTTTTAACGGGACCTGAGCCATCCTCTGGATTTTCTATTAGCAAGGCTTGCAAAACTTAATGTCTTCCCTTAACTTACGGATTGAGAATAAAATGTCACCAACGTCTGCGGACTCGCCAATCAGGGATTGTTGCCAAAGTGCTATTGTGTAGTTTTTGAACTTTGTGTTGTAAGAGATATTCTTTGTTTCTCCAATCCTCCATATTTCTCTCTTCTGAACGGGGCTGAAGAACTGGGCATAGAGGCAAGGGGAAAGAGAAAGCGATAGCAGGACTGCGAAGAGCATTTTGGAGAACTGTTTGTTGTTGCGCAATTGTCAAGTCGAAGCGGCGTTGACTCGACTATTATCAGACTTAGACCAAAGGCTGGCCGTTGCCAACGGATGCTACGCCCGACCCGACACTGTGGTTCGGAGGCCCACTGGCGTGTTCGAAACCCTTGTCATGCTTTCAACAGTTGTCTACTGGATTCTCGACTTCCAACAATCAGCCTGCCACATTGTCCCTGCCTCGCCCTCGAAATCGCGAAGCTTTCCGGGCCAATTTCTCGAGGGCCTGCTTCAGGCCGGCATGGCTGGGTACGGTAGCCCGCCAGTGACTAATCGCTCTTCAATTTTGCCGCTCAGTGAAGTCTTTTACTGCATTGGCGTAGATCATCAAGAAAATACTTGGAACAACGAATGCCAGAGTATCTGGAAACATCGCCTTAACTACAAGAAACACAAGGCCCGAAGTAAAGGCTTTGGTATCTATAGGATTTAGCTATCAGTCTCTTCAGTTACCAAGAGAGCATGGCGGTGCCTCAATGATATCAATGTTTGCTCTCGGCCAAAACAGGGTTTACCCCTGACCCTGAAATGTGGCGTTCTGCCAGTCAAGGATGTCCAAAAAGGTCCTGTCTAACGCGGTAAAAGTTGCCGCCCAATTTCTTACCGCCCGCTTTCATGCCGCCGTCATTGAGGACTCAGCGCGGACTGCGGAACAAATTACTAACCAACCGTCTCGTATTGCCAAGGTACTGTGATGGATTGTGCATCTAAAATCCCAACCAACACCAAGCCCTTTTTGAAAGGTAAATCAGCTTTGAGCGTTTTCTTAACTGTCTCCCTTTCTTCTCTCATCCCAAGATCTGCTACCTCGGGTCTAGAAGTGCGATGAACACCTGGAACAAAGTTGCCTGTTTGCAGGGCTGAGAGCATACACCGTAAAGTTGGAGGGAGATATTCTGCCCTTTCTGAAGCTGTTCATCCTACCAGTCAGTAAGCAACCAGGTGGATGCTGGTATTGCTGTTGGGGGGTGGCTGAAAATTGCATTGTGCCCCCTCCCGCCTATCCCGCCGCCGGCCGAGATATTTGATTAGACAACCCACCATACAGTCCGATACGGGTTGGCTTGCCAGCTGATTGTCCTCTTTCTTTCATAAGACTCGTCCCCCGAAAGATTCACTCCGCTTGTTGTTGTCTTTAATACTCTCATTCGCAAATTTCTGGCGCTTTGCTTCTCCTTTCCTAATGCACAAAACGAGCAGGATGCACTTTCTACCTATCAGGCCGACCTCCAAGAGGGACCTGTGCATCGTCGCAGCAATCTTTGTCACGGTTGTATTAGTCCTGCATAATCCATTTCCTGACCACATTATTCGGCCGGGAGGCAGAGGTCCCAAAGCCTCATCAGCAGGTTTGATAGGCGCGATCCAAAACAGCACATTAGGCGTGAGCCCTCCTCAAGGCTGATGGGAAGAACCACAATCTCACGCTGATATGCCTGTAGTTTGAAAAGATTTACGTCGTCGGCCTTCCAAGCCGAACAGACCGCAGAGATAGCATGATACTTCAGGCCGCGCTGAGTGAGATTGACATCAACTTTGTTGACGGTGTGCCTGGCAACACCGTTGCGGATAAAGCGATACCAAAGACAAGCGAGCATGGTCGCTTGCATGATGGCGCCATAGGCTGCTGGCGCGGCCACATGACTGCGCTCGAGGAGTGAGTCGACTCCAAGCTAATTACACATCACTCAGCCCACTGACCATGTCCTCAAGAATCGTTCGTCACAACCTATCTTCAGCTCTCATCCTCGAAGACGATGTCGACTGGGATATTAGAATCAGGCAACAGTTGCATGATTTTGCTCTCTCGGCTCAGACCCTTACTCAACCCCTTCCTGATGGACCTCCAGCCTACGCGGACCCAACATACCCGAGGCCAGTTGAGAACTCGCCAGAGGTCGTCCCGGATATTCCTTTTGATTTTCTACCAGCTACTGTAGCACCTAAAACATCACCGTACGGAGACGACTGGGATCTGCTTTGGATCGGCCACTATGGAATGCACTTCCCTTTCCGAGATAATAAGAGTATACCGAAAGCCCGCATCATTCGCTCCAACGACGTAACAGTCGCTCCCAAGAAGAACTTATGGACATTCAACATCCCGTTCACTCTGAAAGAGACATACCCAGAGCACACGCGGGCATATCACCATGCCCAGGAGGGTGTCTGCACGCTAGGCTACGCGGTTAGCCAAAGGGGAGCAAGGAAACTCCTACACGAGGTGGCTTTGAAGGATGTCAGTGATGCGTACGACATCCTCTTGAGGTTCTTTTGCGAGGGCGCTAAGGGGCGAAAACCACACAACTGCTTGACGACGCAGCCGGCTTTGTTCCACCATCACCGACCTGCTGGCCCCAACAGTGCGATGAGCGATATTGGGAATCATGGTGACGGTTTCAGAGATGTCAGTATGACGGATATGGTAAGATGGAGTGTGCGTCTGAATGCCGATGCGCTTCTCGAAGGAAGGACGGATTTCGTTGACCAGTACCCTGATGATAAATGAGTTAAGATACTAGAGTCTTTGATGCTAATTGGCTAGACTATGATCATAGTATGCTTTTCCAAGATAGATGTATGATTGAAAAGGCAGTTACCAATGTCTTTTGTTCCCTAAAGTCTAAGTCAAGATGTCTCCATGTAGGCGCAGGCTGATCGCACGCGTATAGGCCCCACGGAATTAAGGGATTTTGTGAACCCGGAAATGAGACGGGTTCCTAGATAACAACACCTAGCGAGTTCGAGTGCTTTGTAAAAACTGTGATTGCATGGATACTTGATTCAAAACCCTAAGCCCTTGAATGCGTTTCGAAAAGCCGCAGGTATCGTGTGAGCACTGAGTTCTGATGCTGGGATATCTCTGCTCCATGATTACAGTCCTTCAACTCCCGAGTCTCCTGGAGATTTGGAAGTGATCTGTAAGGAACTTTCGGTACAGATAGAATCGCTTCAATTCCAGACTACATAGGATGTGCTTCTGTGCTGGTGACGCTGACGGGCTGTTGAGCGCTGGTTTCCATGCCTTCGGGGAAGATTCCGTGGAGGGCGCTGATAACTCATCACATATTCAAGTCGGCACGTAGTTGAGAACTTCCATTCCATGAGTACCTAGCTCTCAGCTGAGAGCTCTTCAGCAAAAGAGTTGTCGAAGATCACGTAGCACGATGACTCTTCTCAAACTCAAATAGAAAAGAAATAAGTCCCAGTTCGAGTATACAGAAACAGATCATACATGTGCATGTGTCCTCCATAACATGAGTGACTTGGGTAGCTGAAAACAAGTAAGACTTGGTGAAAAGTGTTAGGCTTGTGACTTGGTTGGCAGAAAGTTTGTCACATTATAGCCCTGTTTCGCGCCTACCTCCTTTGATCCCGTGCGGATCAGAACTCTCATGTCAGTTTTCGTGACAATTTCTACCCGCCATGACAACGAAAGATTTCGCCAGTCGTCAGGTCGACTACTTTCGGTTGTTTCTTTTTCTCTGCATCTTAATTATTGTGTGATTGGACTGGACTTCTTCAGCTTCAGCCTCTATGGCCAAGTAACTGGCTGCCTATTTTAGGAAATTCTGTGTATCCCTAGGTGCTCAAGCGAAGAAGGCACCCGTAAAAGGATTTTCTCGGGTTAGAGTCTCAAGAAAGATGATAAATGCCTTCGCAGAACAGTTCGTTCTTGAAATAAAGAATCCCATTTACCGCTTAGAGAAAATGATCGCCTCTGATCTGTCCTGTGGAACCATCGGGGCGACAACACGAGAAGGATTGCATGACATCCCCACTAAGTGCCGTTAGCTTCCGTGTCTAGGCAACAAAACGGCTCGTATTTCACCGCTGAATCTGCAGCCCTGTTCCGCCTGACAATTGCCGCCTCTGTGCCGCGCTCTAGTGCGATCTAAGGGTTTAGATGTATAGCCATGATGTCACGTAGTATCCGCCATTAGCTATTGACCTGTTCCTCGTGGCTTTCGGATACGGCTTTTGCATTCTGATTCCTCTCAATGCCAATAACTCACCGTCGACTCAGACGCACAGAAAAACCCCCTTCGTTTTACTAGGCAGAAGTTTAGCGAAGGAGATTTTCTACCTGGTCGACTGCCTGAGAAACCTGATGGGTTGGGACTTTGGTTCTAGCGCGGGTCATTCATCGGGCCCAAGACAAGGTATGATCGCTCGACGGCTGAAATGTTCCTGCAGCGCCCTTGTCTAGGCCGACCAAAGGTCCACGGAAACTATGGCAGCACGGATGGTGTCGGGAAGTGAGGACCGAAGCAAACGAACCACTAAACTGCAAGGACCGAGATTCTAGACCTGCAGCTACTAGGGGTTGCCATGGCTCTTGTTCTGGGTAGGTATTTAAGAGCAATACGAATGACCGATCGTAACGGAATTCGATGAGCCAGACCACCCTCGTTCCTCTCGCAATCGTTTGTTCTAGCACGCTGTCAATCCGACTAGTGACAACTACTATTCGCTCCAACAAAATTTACCAGAATGCAGCTCTCCACCCTTCTTGGCGCCTCTTTCGTCGCCGCGGCATCAGCTGCCCTCCCCCCCATCAACTTGGGCTACCTCAGCTACCCCCACGGTAATCTCTTTGTCGCGTGGTCCCCTTTCACTCCCACAACGACACAAGAGATCACCGACGTCTGCGACACCCGCGGCGCCGTCAAGGGCACCGCGACGTGGACAACCATCCGCGCGTACAACACCTACGTCTTCAAGCCCATATGCCGTAATCCCTTCAACGTCACCGACGCTGTGACAAATACCACATACTACAACTTGGAGCTGGCATGCGTGGACGATAACATTCCCCTTTACGCCAACCCGGAGGTTACCGCGGTCGTTGATACGAAGACGAACAAGACGGTGGAGACATGCGTCCCTGTTTCGCTGAACGGCCAGTCAACATACGGAGCTTGCAGCGATCACTTCAGTGGAGTCTCGTACAGTTTCGCTTGCTCGGCTTGATATGGAACTACCGTTGGGAGACAGTGACCTCTTAGAACAGACTCTGGTACGATGGATGAGCATTACTGCATGGGCGTGCACGGACTTCACATAGCTCGGGGCTTCGGCTGACGTCGATGAGGTTGCTGCAACTTATTAATGAAGGCACGAGAGCGCGCATACCAATAGAATTCAGACACATACTTATTTTATCGTTATAATACTACTTTTTCAAAGGTATTTGAAGCTGTGTTTTTTTCATTGGCGAATCGACAATTAGTCGTGCCAGACACTTATACCATATATCATTCAAAGAGACTGAGCGGCAAAAAGTAGGCCGAGACAAGTCACGACGTGGAGTACCAAACGGTGCGGAGTGCCTTCTATCTGTCATATTTGATGAACATTTGATTATTTCCATGTCGTCCAGTACTGGACAGACTCTAATATAAGTGCAGATTTGAGAACAAGATACATGTCGTACCTTCTCGAAAGTCTTGCAAATTAGGTAGGACCTAAGTACGCTTCGACTTAAGGGTGCACGGAAACCGACACTTGCTCACATCCACCAGTCCTTCGAGATGAAATCATGGTAGTATACTCACGCAATCTTGAACCACTGACCAAACGCCCCTGAAGGATCGAACTTCTTCTTCAAAGTCTTGAGTCTATCCAAGCTTGAACCATAGATGGCTTGCAGCTGCTCATCCCCGTGAGCGAAGTTAATATACCTGAGTCATCATTAGTTTCCGATAGCTATATCAGACCATTGTTCAACTCACGTTGGATTCACGGTGGCACTTGAAGAGAAGCTCCAGATGTCTCGGACTTTTGCGCCAAATTCCAGGGCTTGAGTGTCAAGGGTAGCATCCTCATACCACGGGATAACAATTGCCTGCGCGAACGCCTCTTGGCGGAGCTCGTCTTGCATAGCTGCCGACCCAGAAGGGACTGACTTTGCCGTGGTGAGGTTGTACCTCTCAATCAACACAGCCGAATTCTGCGCGCCTGTTTGTTTTTGGAAACCGGTGTATAGAGACCAGATCTCGGGCCAAGTTTCCGACTTCATGTTGTTGATGGTCGTGCTGTATGCAGGTTTGCGTCCCCCGCGGGCGCAGAAGTTGTCATTGGCGGCGTTCCACTGCTGGTAGGGAGTGACAACACTGGAGTTGGTCAGGGGTCCGAGGTTGTATAGTGGCGCAAATGCGGTGCGGCCAGCTTCTTCGGTTCCCTCGCGGAGGAAGCCAGTGACAAGAACAATTGGCGAGTTTGAAGAGTCGCCGGAGTTTGTCAGAACCAGGTAGACGACTTGTTCTGGTAGCAATGGGAGATCCTGGATGGTCTGAGCCACATCTGCGATCTTGGAAGAGTCAAAAGTCAGGGACATGATCCAAGATGTACGAGTTGCCGTTGCCCATGCGTTTACGGTTGCAGATGTGACGATGCCAAAGTTGGGCGCTGCACCCCTTAGAGCCCAGAAGAGATCGGAGTTAGATGCGCTTGAGACCGTCAGGGCCTCTCCGGTGGCAGTAATAACGCGCATCGACAAGATGTTATCGACCGCAAAGCCGTGTTCCCCCATGATATTGCCGTATCCACCGCCGAGAGCTGCTCCAAGAGCGCCGACGCAGTTGCAGTTGCCAGTTTGGACTAAAACGCCTGCGGCGTCGGCAGCAGCAACAACATCGCCAATGAGAGCCCCTCCACCAATCGTTGCTGTCTTCTTGTCGGTACTGATATTGACCTGGTTTAGACCGGCGAGGTTGATGAGGACGCCGTTGCTGCCCAAGTCGAATTGTTTGGTCGCCCAACCATTACCGCCATTCTGGGGAAGAAAAGGGATGCTGTTCGTTGAACAGTACTTGACCTGTGTGATGGATCGATGTCAACATGTGCACAGCAGTTGGCGATTGACTTTGGCAAAGAGTATGGGTATTAGCCTACCACGGCGCTCAGATCTTTCTCTGATGTCGCATTGACGATGACGGATGGTAGAGGTACATCGAAGTCACTCCAACGTTCTCGAACTTCGACAGCGACTGAGGAAGTCGAGACAAGGTTTTGCAAGTCCTCGGCTACTGAACGGGCGTTGATGCTAATGGCAGCAGATGCTACCATTGAAATGAGCTGCAGACCGATGAATAGGGACCGCATGGTGTCGTCCGGGGGTAGCAGTGGCAGGTGATCGTCGGCGAGAAGCTGTAATAGCCAAGAAACTCGTGCATGGGAGACCGTAGAGCAGGATATGTTTCTTTAAGGGTCTGCAAATGTGCGTGAGTTCACCTCTCTGTCTACATGATGTAGGATGCGATGCGACTCCCAGCCACATGACCCCCTTGGATCCACGCGTTGAATCCTAGACCATTGCGAGATAGGTACGGATATATGCCGACTAATTCTCCCGGCTACCATGGTATGCAGCTGCGTTGGTGTTGATCGCGTAGTCTTGGTAGGGATCAAACGGATATGAGGTTCTCCATATTGGTTTGCACCATGATCCATCAAAGGGGGGGAGGGGAGAGGGGAAAGCCCTCTCTTCTTCAGTACATGTCCAATGCGAGTCCATGTCCAATGTGACCGTCGCATCTCGGAGCTTGCGGCCACTAACGGGCGGACTTCTGGGCGAATATTACCATCCAGCCATCGTACGACAAGGGCGATGGAAATCCATTGCAGAAAAACGACGCAAGCGATCCCATCCTTGGCAAGAGATTACGGAATCCCGACCATGACATGGTGGTGTCCGGTCACCCTGGCATTGCAGGTGGAGCTAATTGCTGGGTTTGACCTTGTCTTGCAGGACATACGATATCCAACGGGCCCGCTGCAACGATTGTCGAAAGAGAAAACCCCCGTTGGCAAGAAAATCATCCCCTCTCTGTCCCCGCCGACCCGTACTGCGGAGGTTGTGAATGAAGAGGTTATTTGAACATCTGAAGCACACCAAGAACTATGCATTTGTTAGACCCGTCAATCCTCAGCAGGGCGGCACCGCTGCTCTCCGAAGAGTAATCTTAGCAATGTCCCAGGGCCTACGTGGATTTCTCGAAGCCACGCGGCTTGTTGAATAACGTGAATAACGAAGTTATGCGACCGACGTTCAGAATTGACTACATGTACTGTGATTGCGTGACGTTGGGTAGGTTGAAGAAAAACAGTGAGGCATTAATACCGCACGCAAGTTGAAATGGATACCTTCATATGGAGTAAGTCGAATCTAATCAAATGGCTAGGTAACAAAGTCTGAATCAGTTTCGGTGTCTCGATCGCAGTCAGCAACATCGCAGGTGAGGTATCATCAAAGAAAGGCCAAGAATCGGCCTCATTAGAACCACTAACAAATGTCCAAAGTCAACGCTCATAGGAATCTCTCTCAAGCTAATCGGACTCCTCCTCATAGTCCGACACCATTAGTTGTTAAGTTAGCGGTACTTGAACTGTCCGAAGGCTCAATCGTCTGGTGGATAGTTGTCTCTCTGAGAATATCCCGTCCTTCGGGGGACCCTGAGCGTGTCTTGTCATCGTTTCGAATCATTTCTAATTCATCCAGCTCTTCGTATGGTGTTCTCGGCGTTCTCATACTGTTTTTTCCTCCAATACGTCGTGATGATCCGTACTCGTAGGAATCGTTTCCTGTCGTAATGGGCTTAGGGAAGAAATGCACCCAAATTGGCCGCAGTGTTGGGAGACAGGCGCAAACAATAGCCAGCGATAGTTCAATGTTGGTCCAGAAGAAGACAGGGGCGGTGTAGTCTTCATGCAAGAGTTAGGAAAGAAATCGCAGTTGTGAGCAATTCTGATTTGACTTACATATCACGTCGTTAGGGTGCTTGACATATTCTTCCGCGATAGCGAATGTAGCTACCACTCTTGTGACACTCACAGCACACACACTGCAGTCTTGTTAGCAGCTTCTTCCTTCTTCAAATGACATTGAAATTCTTACGCAGCGCCAAGTCCCAACATCGCGATCACTGCAAGCTTCTTCCTGAGGGGCATCTGTACTTTGAGAACCATCGCGACTGGTAGCACAAGGATTACAAAGTCGGCGACGACGTCGGTAAAGAGAAGCGCGAGAAACATTGGTACCGTCTGAACGCACGAGTTGCCATAGTAGGGTTCGATGAACACCGTGATTGGGAAACAAGTAAAGAGATGGGAAAAGAAGAAGCTAACAGTCCATCCAATCACAAAGGCAAGGACACCAAAGACGACGTAGCGGAATCTCTGGCTTGGAAAGAGGGTGTAATACAACAAGAGGATGGATGATTTGACCAGTCCCAAGCCGAGAATAGAAATCATGTTGAGCGCAAACTTTGTCTGATATGTGAAAAGCTTATCAGCTGGGCGCAAAATGTGACGCGGCTGCGTTGGAAGATCAAGCTCACCTCTTCGAAGAAGATCAACCCTGGATCGTCCATGATGGGGGAGCCGTCGGGGAATGTGGGCTGATGCTGTCCCAAGTGACCGTGAATTGCAGCTGTTCTCCATGTCAGAGCCACCTAATGAGTGATCATCAGAAGTTAAGACTTACTAGCCAGTTGGAGAGTACAGCAAGTGATAGATACCAGCTATCAAAAGTAAGCACCGATCAGCATATCCTTTGGCTTCAAGTCTCATCTTGAGACTTACGAGCGCTGCTCCGGTCAGGTAATCGTCCCATGCGAATCGTTTGACGAGTAGCTTCGCCCAGACGCGAAGCCCATAGAACACTGTGGGAATGATCATGAATCCGATGGCCAGACCGATCATCTGGCCCTTGGTGTAGTCATGGTTCATCGTCACCATGTTGGGCAGCTTGAAGCTGTGTGCCAAGTGATGAAATCACAAACTTCCACCGAATCTTGTTCGCCGCCGTAAGATGATCTGGAAGAGTAAAGGCTGCAAGCAAGGAGCGTGTTTGACATGAACAGCAGACAATCTACATGCGGAAATGTCACTGGAGATGTCGTGAGATATGTATCATAAAGATCTGAGGAGGCATCCTGTCCATGATGATAACAAGAAGATGTACGGAGTAGTGTGACAAGTGCAGATTGTCACAGTCGTCTTCCCGCGAGAGATACTTTCCCTTCCATCGAGTGCTGGCGTAGCATGTGGCATTTACCGCGTCGCAGTGGCAGTAGCACTACCATGATAAAACAGGATAACAGCATTCAAAGCGCTCAGGGTAAGGCCGCAGGGGGTAAGAAGTTATCTGCCACTGATAAAACTCAAGGTTCTCCCAGGCGGGAGCGCGTCCTTGATCACAGCAAGAACTGGTTATCATGCCCTGTGTTTCGGACGCCCCGAGTCAGGTACCTTGTCCCCCGTTGCCTCGATGAGCGTGGCTAGAGGCCGTGACGTTGCAATGCGGACTGATTAAGCCCCACTCGTTCCCTTGTCCAGAGGCACGACGGGTGACAGAAAACCGTGATCCCCCGCCGCGGTACCGGGGGTTGAAATACCGTGAACTCTAATAACCCTCCTTTCGGGCTACGGTTCCTGAACTGGTCACAGCTACGGAGTACAAGCAGAACATTTGCTTATGGTTTTCCGTTTGCCGCCGGACGAGATGAGTCTCGGTGATTTAGACTTCTGCGACTTGAGATGATCGATAGTCAAAATGACACTGGTTCCGGAGCCATGGTTATCGGGTTGGACGTTCGTAATGGTTTGGTCACAGAAACAGGCGAGCCTTTCGACCTAGAACGATCAGGGCGCCCGTACCAACGAAAACTCTTCCCGCGATCCGCGGGTTGTTGCAGTTTACAGCATTTGTCAAAAGATCTCTAGTAATAGCGCAAATATGTTATGTGTGCAGAGGTACGGGGTACGGAGTACGGATAATTATATTATATCTCGTAATGATCCCCCTTTCTACCCCTGACATGGCGCACGCACCTTGATACCTACCTGCACAGCTGCAACCTGCATACCCCCACGGAATAATTCAAGAGGCTTTGGGGGGAACCATGCATTGGTGCGTCGTAAGGGAAAGACTTATGAAACTTTGTCGGCCGAGTCTTGGACCAGTAGCAGTCAAATGGGGGTTGGCCTGATTTGCGCTCTTGTTGCACGAATGGGATGAAGGCCAGGCGAACTAATACCGCAGCACGTGGGTGACAAGAAAAAAAAAGGACACACTTAACATATTTCTCTCATATAGACTACTCTTTTGCGGTACTATTTATTTTAAAAAACATAATGAAAATACTTTATCATTCTTCTTTATCCCGAGAATGTATCACTATATTCTATATATTCTAATTCAAAATGCAAAAGAGGCATAGAGTATGCTGATAGTTTTGGAGCTGATAGTAAGGTCCCTAAGGTGTGTCCTTTTTTCGTCACCCGCGTGCGCAAGTACCAGACTCCTTGCTTGGGCCGCAAGAAAGTTCAGTTGGTCACTAAAGCACCGTCCGGCGTCACTCTCTCAACGGTTACCGCGCTGATATGATGCCGATAAGCGCGATCCCAGCAGATGGTGTCGCCCGCGGTCGTCTTACTTTTGAAGAAAGCTTATTCATTTATGGTAAGCCTGATGCGAGGGTAAAAGAAGCTAAGCTGTATGAAGTCAGAGCCTGAGAACCAGACGGACATGTATGCGTTGCCGTTTAGTGTCCCCAGGCCAAGTCTCTTCTTGGTTAAAAACTTTGGTATTGATTGACGATTGGTACTCCGTAAAGCATGAAGTTCTCAGAAGCTCAGAGCTTGGCCTGTCGCAGCCATTGACTGGTCACCGGATTGACACCGTCTGGCCATGGTGTGGAGAATGAAGCCCTTCCTCGTGGCGATCTTCTTTATCTCCTCGATGTGGTCTCAGCTGTCCTGTAGTCGCCCCCTTTTTACTTGGCTAGTATCCGTATCCGTAGGGAGTACAAGTCGTCACCTCGGAGATTAGGGCATGGGTGTTCGACATGCTGGCTTGGATCTTGCATCAGCATCGGTGAGTAAAACTCATCCGATCGGGGGCTAGTTGATCCGGACACGATCTCAAATACTCACTGCGACCCCAGTGCCTCTGAGAACCAACCTCTTTGCATCACAACGTTTCTTGGAAATCTGTGGAAAGCCAGTCACCACATGCGCCAACGCAGCCCCGCAATGAGTTCGAAAACAACTATAGCCGATGACATGGCTATCGTATCTATGGGGCATACTTCTCATCTGTTGTCAAGGTGATCTTCTAGAGCACAACTAGTTTAGGACGCATATGTTGAAGTGAGCTCGAGAGAAAATGAACAGCCAGCGTAAGTCCTCAATTTCATGTGATCCTGGCTTGGAGGATTTGGTGCATCGCAAACCGTAAGAGGGCCGACTTGCCATTATCAATCAACATTCAAGATAACCTCGCAAGTGGATACTACCAGGATCATACGAGGGGGGCGAAATCAGGTTACAATGTCGCAGGCAGTGAGGCAGAACGTGAATCTCAATTCAGTAATGCGGGGCTCGAACTGGGCATGCGGGCGGTCCTCAGTTTTGCTTCCAACGCCCATGAAGTTGTTGTCAATATGTGATAAGAAACCTGTTGGATCTACGGATACTGACTACATGTCCATTTCGGTTGCCATGTGCAGGCTGTTGGCCATTGAGAAATGAGCTTTCTTGCTCTTACTGGTGCTTCAGTGACGAAAACGATGCTCGGTATTCGCAATTTCCAAGACACTATTCGTAACGGTACCTCGGTATCAAATAGGATTGTAGTCAAGAGCTCAGACTTGGACTCTTGGGGGCTCATTATGGATGCCAATGTACCAGCCAATACGTGTGGATACCAAAGGAATCGTGTAGTTTCTTTGTGGATTTTCCGGGGAGTTTGAAAGTGGATTAGGAATGATTCGATCGACTCGGCGGAATGGACCCAGTTAATTGCCTGGGTGGTAGTGGCACAACTCCTTACCTGACCTAAGGCGATAACATCTTGTCTTTGGCCATTCACCCAACTACTTAATTACTTGCCTTAGGACAACATGATAGGTAGTTGTGATTACATTTACGGACGAGTGATTTGCCTATTATACTAACGGCGTTATTTAGCCCGCGTACGATGCAGAACGGCAATCACACTCCTCTTGCTTGTCGCGAACCGATCATCACGCGCACCTGAACCCTTGAGTTCGACTCCACCTCAGTGGATCACGGCGTTGTGGCAGAGTGGTCTAATGCGCAAGACTAGAAATCTTGTTCCTTCGGGAGCGTCTGTTCGAATCAGGCCAACGTCGACCATCTGTGTGTTTTTGCAACTGAGGTGGTCAATATCGAGAGACTAGCCCTACCTACCTTAGGCTACAACGCGTCACGCCCCTGCATTCTTTTTACTTTCTATCATTTCCTTGCTCTCTTTTCAAATCCCCCGTTCACAGAGACGCTTCAACTTGATCAGCTAGGGATTCTTGTTACCTTTTAGGCCTCTGATGAGTTCTCGCATTACGGCAAGTTGTGTCACGACAACCAGAGGTCTGTGGATCTGACTGAGATGAAAGTTTCGCAGCCAGGCTGTTTGATAATTGCAAGTTGACGACACTAGGGTTGGCACACGGCAAGTTGACGCTTACTCCCTTGACTCCGATACTTTGAAACTATCCACCCACGCGATTGTTAAACGTGTCTCAAAATTTGACGCATCTCGTACAGTGACCGAAAGGACTTAGGAAAAATATGGCTTTTGTCCATACACCACATGGCTTGGTGACGAGATATGAGTGCTTGTGCAAGCCTGCAAGAGCCCAGCAAGACTCACATGTCATACAGTCCATGTTAAGCGCCAGTCTTCATCTCATTTCGCACGTTGGCGACCTCTACCAGAACTTGTTTTTTAGTCCGCTTGAGAGCACCACAGAAAACCGGCAAGGTAAAGCCTTCCAGGCCATCGAGCATTTGTGCTAGATTAATGAGACCAAGGTCTTCATACCGTGGATCTTTGGGCCACGGGCCAAGTGGATTTTTGATTTTTTGATGGAACATGTTTTCGAATTTTTGTTCTCGAACCCAGCCTTCGAGTTTTGGACCTGGGCAAAGGAATGCCGAGATTCTCCATGGTTTCCACAAAGGTCTGATTCCAGTCACGAATGGATGCTGCTAAAAACCCTGTGGATATGAAGTCGTACTTCCTTACTTCGATCCAGGGACTTTCGACATCATCAACTTGGAACTTGACATTTTCGGGAACCCTAGAGTAACCACAAAGGGAATGATCAGTGCTGTTAGTCAATCTCGCGCGGAAATTTCTTGTATACTTACCATGTCGGCTGGATGGCGCTCAGGTCAATTCCAATGACCTCCGCGAAGAGATCGCCCATCTCAATGGCCCCTATCCAAACTTTTCAGTTCTTCATCTCTAACTAAGTAGACATCAGGTAGCCAGAAATAAGGAGACTGGATATTTCACTCACATATACCTGTGCCAGTCCCAACGTCGAGAATGCGATGGGTCTTACTTCTCTCAAGGGGCGCCAAGAAAATTCGATTCCCAATAACCCTTGTCATCATTGCATGGCACATGTCCATCCTATCCATCTCTGGCTCGTCATTCGGCATTATATATGCTATTTTACAGATGAGACCAACATAGATGGGGGCTGAGACCCAGACCAAAACTCACTTCCAGATCGAAAAGCATGATAGCGTCGGCCATACTCAATGGGGTATTAGTCCAGAACGCTGAAGGACAGAGAAACAGAGTATTTCAGGCTATATGACGCAAAGTTATTAGGCTTGACTTGATAGACCTAGCACAGAAGCATACGGACATTTGCTCATCAATGCTCAACTCATTTTTGTACTGACTTTCTGTTAGCAACAGGCTGTGGAGTTGGGGCTGAACAGTTGCATGAGCTCAAAGATTCGCTTTCGAGCGGCACATCGCTCCCAGCTGCTGATGGAAGTGCAGGTATGCCGTGGTCCGTATGCCGGTATCCTGTTTAATCCATCTCGAGAAAGACCGACGATGGCGACAGCATCAGAAAATGATGGAAAGTTGAAAGTGCATGTTGGCCACAGAAATCCTCGTGCGTTGCAGAGAAATTGTGCCATGATTTTGTAGAATTTCTCTACTTTCCAGCCTGCCTTCCTTGTTGGTGGTGGGCTCGGTCGGTTGAAACCAACGCAAACTGTCTGTCGTCTTTGTTGGTTCAGGCCCCTCTGAATGCGTCAGCGTCGGCGCGCCAATTTGCAGTCTTGTTCTTAAAAGCATTTGAACCGCCATCAGGGGCGCTTATCTCCCCTCCGCCGTTTGCCTCGACTATACACAGATGGCCATCCCAGATAACGGACAACAGACATGAGACATCAGAGCTCGTCACCTCAATTGGGCCGCGAAATTAGTCAAACCAACTACTGCATTGTGTCTTGAGACTTATACTTGTTATGAGGAACACTGTATCTAATTTCTAGAGGTCACAACGACAGAATTTTGCATCATTTCATAACACATTTGAAAATCGTCATAGACCTGCCCATATTCGATTCTTCAGATAGGTCTTCCTATTCTATAGCTTCGCCGATGGCAGACAATATTCTCTATCTCCTAAACTAAAGCTTCATGCCAGCACCACTGTATCACTCCAAGACAAGCCACCTTTCCTCCGGCTTAAGCTAGAGGTACGGCCGCAGCTTGCTACTCAGCGACTTCCGCCTCTTCAGGCTTCCGTCCATAGACCACATGTCTAGTGAAGATGTGTTAGTCAGAACTAGCTAGAAGGATAACGCTTGGGAAAACATTCTGGTTGCGATACAAAGATCCAACTTACAGTCTCAAGTACGTCTGAAGCTTAAGGTCCCTCAAAGCCTTGCGCATTTCACTGACGAAGACTAGAATTTCTGCATCTTCCCATCCCATGATCTGTCGGAGCAAGAAAAACCCAAATCCCTCGAGAGATTGGTCGAGATATTCCAGATTGACGGCGCCACATTCCTTCAGCTTAGGGTCTGATGCCCAGCCGCCGATGGGGAAGGGCCAGCTCTTTTCCACGATATCAACAAAGCCAGCATCTCGCAGGGCGTTTGCGACGCCATGGTTTCTGGTCTGCTTTGCGGTCTTGCCTAGTCGATCAGTGGCCTCGAAGATGGTCTTTGCCCATCTCCTGTAAATGTGGTCATGAGGCAGATCATCTCCCAGGGCTTGGGAGTGATCTTCAATATCCCATTCATTCAATTCGATGTATCCACCAGGTACGAGATGGTCAAATGATTGCTTATACAACCTTGGCCAGTCAGAAACAGCCGCCTCCATATGGCGGATATGGACGTAATTGAAGTGTTCGCGAGGCCAGGTCCAAGGCTCCTCAATATCGTCGATCTGGAACTTGCAGTTTGGCGGAACCCAGCCTGGTTGGATGGGTGATATGTCAACTCCAATGACATCAGCTGAAGGAAACTCATCGGCAAAATCGCTGTAGTCGACCGGTCAGTTGTACTATTTGATCACTGCACCTTGCCCAACTCAGATCACAAGAGGTGAGACGCGTATGCATCGTGGGACTTACATTGCCCAGATTCCTGTACCAGTGCCAACATCAAGGACTTTCTATTCGACCATTTTGTCAGAAATTAGTGGTGTAGAGTAGGCATCTGTGACATTAGAGCAAAAGCTTACATGAGGAGTTTTGCCGATAGGTGCTAAGAAGAGCCTGTCGTCGAAAAACAATAGCTCCAAATAGTGCCTTTCGCATCGATGTTAGATATGCATGTGTGCAGAGTTCGAGCCATCAACGCCTCGAAAGGATGGTATTAGCACGCAGCTTGCTGTTTGTAGCACTTACGCAAGGTCGAGCCCTTCGTTCTGCTTCTCATCGTTTGGCCCCCAATAGTCAGTTTTCTGGGTGTATGTACGCCCTAAAATGCGACGATATTCCGTGATGCTTTCGCTAATTGAAGCAGTTGAGGCAGTACGGATACTACACTCATGTAACAATCAGTCGCTGGTCGCTGGATGGATGACTTCACCAAAGATATGTGGGAATCACCTCTCGGTCTCGGCTTCAGTCAATCCCTCGATTTCGAGAACAGGGTCCTTCGACAAGATTAGGTCAGCACAGTCCTATTTTCTACCCTCTTGCTTATATCCAATTCTACATTTGAATATCAAAACACTCACAACGGCGATGGCACCTGTATTAGGCTCGTTGGTGCTCCTTGGGGATGACCTCGTCGAACCAGCAGCCCTCGGGGACGGGCTTTTCGATGACGGAGCCGCTGCTCCGGCGGTTGCGTCCGGGCTCGAGACCATGTCGAGTAATCTCAAGGCACTTGGACTTGAAAGCGATTGAACGAGCAGGCAGGCGCGTCATGGAAATCAGAGAAACGTTCTATCATGGCTTGTATTGACGTTATTTGTATGGGCCGACTGACCCCTCTTTTGCGATGCATTGTGTTCTCTGTTGGTTCTACAGACTACAACGCGCGTACGCTCCTGCAGACCAGGGCTCGAGCTGCCAAGGGTCGAAACAAGAGCCCGCTTCCCCGGGCGAATTAAATTGTTACGTTGTCAAATTTTAATGCATATTCTAGGCCCCTTGCGGAAGGTCTGTCACGGCGCGGTGGTTCAACGATGAGGATCCAGCGGACTTGGCCGAATGTACCTTTTCAGAGTGCTAAGTCAATGGAGTTTGAAGTGTCTTCCGTTCCACTCAATAAATCTGTATGGTATACGTATAGCTACTTGACTTCAACAATTGCCTCCCGACACAGCAGCATCTGAAAGCGATCACTCTTCGCCTTCCGCAGCCGTCTCAGGCTTCTTTGCATAAAAAACATGGCTGATGGTTATCAGTTGAGGCCAGCTCAAGTTCCAAAGCAAACGCAAAATTGGTAGTAGAGGAATAAAAAGAAATGGTGGCACGACGTACAGCTTGATGTAGGTTTGGATCTTCAGGTCTCTGATCGCCTTCCGCATCTCGCTCATGAACACCAGGATCTCGGCGTATTCCCAACCCATCACCTCTTTGAGTAGGAAGGTACCGAAGCCCTCAAGCGACTGATCGAGATATTGGAGGTGACACGCGCCCACTTCTTTGAGAGTAAGATCCCTCGGCCAGGCTCCCACAGGTGCTGCCCATTGCTGTTCAACGATGTCGACGAATCCGGCCGCTTCAAGACCTCTGGCGATACCATGGTTGCGGCTCTGGGTTCCTGTCTTTCCAAGCCGGTCCATGGCCTCTAGCATGACCTTGCCCCACCTTTTGTAGACGTGGCCATCGTCCAAGTCAACAAACAGCTGAGAGCACAGCTCAACGTCTATCTCTTTGACTTCAATGTATCCCCCTCCCTTCATATGAGCACACGACTGGCCATATAGCTTAGGCCAATCTGCCACGCTACCCTCAAGGTGTTTGATGTGAATAAAGTCGAAATGATCAATAGGCCATGTCCACAACTCCTCAATATCATCGATTTGAAACTTGCAATTGGGCGGGACCCATCCTGGCTGAATAGGTGAAATGTCAACGCCGATAACTTCAGCAGATGGGTATTTGTCCGCAAAGTCTCTGCGTATCTGCGTTAGTACTCTTTTACCCGTAGTAGAAGTGCCTAGCACATACATCGCCCAAATGCCGGTTCCTGTGCCGACATCAAGAACATTCTGGAACAATATCAGAAGAGCTACTCTCCAGTCCAATTTCATTGGCAAGACTACTGCTTACCGATGGGCCATCACCAAGAGGCGCAAGGAATAACTTGTCACCTAGAAGAAGAGTCTCCCAGTAATGGCTGCAAGATCACATCAGGTCAGTGCTGGATATGGAAAGGTGATACTTGGGAATCAATTGTGTACGCAATGTCGAGTCCTTCATTCTGCCTTTCGTCATTCGGGCCCCAATAATCGGTCTTCTGGGTGTAAGTGCGTCCGTGGATCCGGCGATACTCGGTGATGCTTTCACTCAAAGAGGCAGTGGAAGACGTGTAAATACTGAACGTGCCGAGTCATTTAGCAAAATGGCTCCTGCTATTTTCCTTCGTATTTCGGGCTCACCTCTCGATCTCAGCATCCGTCGTTTCTTCATCTTCAACAACTGGATCCTTCAGTGGAGAAGTGACTATCAGCTCACAACTGCGCGAAGTGGCAACTCATGAGGACAACAAATCAAAACCTACAACAGGAATCGCGTTTGCGGTGGGCTCGGAGCTACCAGTAGCGGGCGGATTAGAGGCCGTCGCACCCTCTGGAGATGCAACCATGGTTTTGGTTTCCTCGATGGCTCAGATCGATCGGATGCTGCAGAAAACAGGTCTGAGAAACGGCTGCAATGTCTCGTGTTGACGAAAAGTTGACCGCACAAAGCCTTGATGTCGGAAAGACAAGGTAACAACGACCCCTCATTTGGATTTGCTTTTCTCGTTGGTCCAACGTCTTGCGAACTGCCAAGGATCGGAGCGAAAGTCCACGTCCCCGGGCGAAAGAAAGCAGCCAGATTTATTCATGTTGGTTGTGGATTCTATGCCCATTCCGGAAGATCGAGGTGCTAAATCCGCCTGGAAACGGCATTGAGCACTCTGGGGGAAGGACGCGGTTGTATTCTCTGCACGTCGCCAAAGGGAATGCGAGACACTGCGTGCTAAAAGGAAGCCACAGACAAAGAGTCGACGATAAAGTTGTCCCAAGTGCGGTTCGAACCGAATCTACGGACAGATTGTGTGAGATGCTGGCCAATTAGGAGTCTTTGATCTAGCTCCTTAGGTTGCCATTTGAAGAGTGCTGGGGTAGGGGGTCCAGGCAGAGCGACTTTTTTTAAACCACGTTGACTACCCCGTACACGTTACTCGTATACTTGTAAGGTATGTCAGATTGTGGGCTTCGATCTTGGCAATGGAAGGTTGATGACAGACGCAAAAACGCACAAACCTGCTGGCACCATTGGAACCCACGTTTTCTAGCAGGACCGAACCGTCTCGCCCAACAACGTCTGTCATCTTGTAAAGCTCCCGGGCTCGCTTAGGGAGGAGGGATGAATCCACCAAGTGCGATCCTTGAAATGCAATTAGGCGCTCCATCCAAACGCCTATCTTTCTTCAAAAGCCAAGGACAATCGTCTAGGTATCTGCTCTAGATCTGCACGTGGAGTTATCTCCAACTCTCCGCAGAGTAGGTAAGACGCTCTGTAGTCATCACAGCTGATCAAATTGAGTCATGGAAATCTTCATTCCTACGGAGATCTGATTCTGCCAGGAGTAATGTTCTGGTGTTTATTTGTGAAGACCAGACCATCAAACAAATAAGACAACGCGAGACAAACAATGAAGCTTGGCCGGATGATCCCCAACCAGCCGTTGAAGCGCGGTCTCGGTCTCTCTCCCGCTGAGAAACGCAGTGGTGCCGGACGGACGCTTTGCAACGAACTCTTTTTCAGTGGCCTGCCACCAATGACGACAATGCAAAACCCTGACTCGCATTTAGCACCGAAACTTCTGCACCCTCGTGCTGATCTCGATTGAAGTGACGCACGTTCCTGCGGACTAAAAGTCTATTTTGTGTGGGTGAGTGAGGGGTCCCATAGCCTGAAAAGATTGAATCCAGATGTCTGTGTTTTCGGGCCGGCCATGTTAGAAGGAAAAGCACAGAACGGGTAGCACACCGCTCCCAAGGCTTAGGCAAAGCTATGATTGGAATCATTCGCGGCTATGGCATATACCGTTGCTAGTTGTAAACTAGGAGCTGCGGCTGCGTAGGAATCGAGGACTAGCTGGAGACCGGTTGCCCCGGCTTCTAGTCCGATCATCGCACCGTCAGTCAGTCCACGGTCTTTGCCTCCGCGCCATTACCAATATCCAGCCCGTGCCATGTTCTCTACGGCAGTCTCCATATGCGGTTCAGGGTGCCCTGGAGTAACTATCCGGAGATCATCGCTACCACCCTCAAACTTGCGACGGCGTGGCAAACCCCCAGAGTGGGAGCCGGCAATCCGCTGCCCGGCCAGAGAGTTGAGAGCACCTCTGCTGCAACGAGCTCTCAAATGCCGACCCCCGATGCAGACAGGCAACTCTACGACGAACGCTGGTCTGGGAAACCGGGTCCAACAGATGGAGAAGTGAAGAACCGGACAAGTTGACGCCTGCAGGGTCCAAAGGTCAAGAATTTGGGCCCCAGCGTCTGACGTTCCCGAGTCGGGGTTAGGACATGTTGGCTATTCCAAGCGCTTGTGTTGCGCCGCCCTCCACTCAACCTTCAAAATAAACCTCCCCCCGTGCTGCCACTCACCGTTGCATGCCTTAGCTTGCTACTTGCCCGCCATCGCGACTAGTGCGGTTGCTGAAGTTCCGACGAGAGCAGCGGTCAATGGGTGACGTTCCTCATATTGGTTGCCCTGCCCCAACATTTCAGCGAAAAGCTTGTCATTCTTCCCTCCACCTCTCGATCTTACCCCTACCGCCGGGGATAAGGTGGAACAGCAACACCAGAGAATCCACCGAGACCGCCGCCGTCCGATGAAAAACGAGACCTAGCTCTACGATGGCGGGAACACTTATACCCCCGTGGTATGTCGGCTCGACACCTACCAACGATGAGCCGAATATAGCGAGCATGTTTTGGGGGTTCACACTTGGGGTTGGCCTTTGGAGCGGAGTCAAAGGTTATCGACAAAGTAGAGCCAGTTGGAACAGGACACACCGAGTCAACGTCTACATATGGCTGATCTGGGCGGAATGGATCGCCAGTATAGTCATCGGCATCATATCTTGGTGCTATTTGACATCCATCATTGATCCAAGGTAAGCCCCTCTCCTTGTTCATGTAAGAAATTCCAGTGTCTGACTCGGAATTCTTTAGCTTTGAATACTTCTTTTTCCTACGTGAGTACTGCGTACAACTTACATGCCGTTTTCTTTGCTGACGACATTCAATTGAAGTTGTGTTATGGACTATTCAGGTAAATCTCCAATATGTTCTCGAGCATCCTTGATTTGGAACATCAACTGATCAATTCACCATCAGGTCCAATGTCTCATGCAAATCATCGTAAACCGAATCGCAATCTTGATGCCGATACCTGCACAGGCTACACGACTGAAATGGGGAGTTTTTGGCATCCTCTTGGCAGTCAACATCAGCGTCTTCTGCATCTGGATCCCAGCTCGCCTCCAGATAAACGATACCTATATCCACATCAACGAGATCTGGGACAGGATAGAAAAGGGCATCTTTCTTCTTGTGGATGCTGGACTCAATCTTACGTTCATCTATCTCGTCAAGTCGCGTTTGATTGCTAGCGGCTTGACCAAGTACACGGCATTATTCAGATTCAATCTTGCCATGATTGCAGTCTCGATGTCACTTGATGTAGGTTCGATTACTTTTCAACCAGAGATGACCCCGCAGCTGATCACCAACACTCCAGGTCATCCTCATCGGACTCATGTCCCTCCCGAATACCCTGATGTATGTGATCCCGATTTGAACGGGTTTATGCCATTGCTGACCATCACAGCTATGCTCAATTCCATCCGCTGGCCTACCTACTGAAACTACACATCGAAATGGGCATGGCAGATCTGATTGCAAAGGTTGTCAAGGCCTCCAACCCCATGCGACCTCATGCCGAATCAAGGAGAGACAGCAACGACGGAGCCCTAGACGCGAACAAAAACTCATTATCGAAGTCGAGGTCGCGGAGATTTTCTATGCCCTACGTAGCTGGGAGATGGATGTTGAGCTCAGAGAATGTCCAACCTAAAAGAAACACCACAGGGCCAGAACTCGAGCTTGGTGTACAGGCCAACACTTTCTCGGGAAGGGCAACAGAACCAAACGCAGCACCTGTGCCGCGCCCTCGTTCACTCTCTCGTCACATCACCGAACCGAATGGTATAACTGGGCTGAATATGACGCCGCAGTCGAGGACCAGCCGTCAGGATTCTAGTAGCACCGTAAAGGATCAGGATGAGGATGTTGCATGGTATGTTTAATGGGAGCGACCGGATTATCATGATACCCAAGGAGTTAAAGGAATTGGAAAAAACGGTGGTCACGCGGATAAAAATATCCAGCAGAATAGGAGCGTCATCATAGGACTATGACATTAGTTCATTGTCAAACAACAGGACTATAATAATTACACAACTCGTAGCTTGTTAGCAAGCGTATTTTTCCCATTACACGACGATTGTAACATATTTATGCGTTGATCTTTCGTTTGAGACCACTGAAGTACTCAGAGCTTTTCTATCTCTGGTCCTGAGACTCAGAGAAGACACAGATTAGTCGTACCGTATACCGCCCTTTCCAGTACCGAAGTCGCCCGTGGTTAGGCGTAGATAGGCACGCTAGCATTTATTCAATGGAAATGTGGAAAGTCACATCTCATTTTGAGTTGTAAAGTAGGTGTATGCTGCCAGGATGTTTTCGCCCTGATTTATGCCCTCTTTCATCACAGCATAGCTTCAATGATAGGCGCCCTGCAAGGCTTTCACTGCCAAAGCAGTAATAGCCCCTTCGCTTCCAATGAGGATCCCAGAGGACCCATAGCGGTACAAGTATCCCATCCAGCTGCCATCACTCCGCTGTAAATCCAGTAAGAGCCTTCTATCCGAACCGTTGGCCAGGCGCATGTTGTTTGAAGCTAGCAGACGGAGGCCAACACTTGATGCATCGTTTGTAGAGCCCATGCGCTCGTTCAGACGCCGACAGAGTAGACCGCGCAAGCTGTCAAGTTCTTTGGCATCAATGTTTCTGGAGCACAGTTCACTGAGGTAGTACAGTAGGAAGTCCGGCAAGTGGTAGTAGCGAGTTCCATGCTCAAATGCGCTTGTGCGCAGCATATCTTCCATGAAGTTGAGAGCGGGCTGGAGTTGATGACCTCTTCCGCTGGCGTAGAAAACCCGGAGCACATTGGCTGAGATGAAAGGGTCGAGCCGCGGTCTACCTGGGTCGAAGTAACACTAAAGGGCAGCAGTCGTTAGTACATGTAGGTTCAATGAGTACATATAAGAAGGGGGACCTACATATGCTAATCCATCTGGACTCAGATACTTGAGGATATCATCCATAGTTTTCTGTTTGACATCGAAATCAATATCAAGGGTGAGAAGGGCCATAGAGGTAGTATCGAGGTCCTCGGGGTAGACTTCCGTTGTCAGCACTGGAGGCCCGTAAGAAAAGACATTCCAGTGACCGGAAGGGGGGTTCAGCTGGGCGATATCGACAAGTCCCCTAAGAAAAGTACTTGTCAGCATCTTAGTCGAACGAATCATCTGGCTGGGGGGGGCTCCGGACCAGTCGTTCGTCCAATGCAGCAGAAGAAGCTGTTGGAATTGCTCCCTAATCTCGATGCCAGTGTTGGACATACACCACATGTTCTTTGCGTGAGCTCGGAGCCATGAAATTCCACGCTCGACGGGGTCACCAAAGAGATTGTTCAGCTGTTGGATCACCACATCCGCGTTGTCAAACAGTACTCCTCGCATCCCGCGACACTGGGCACAGATGACGTTCTCCGGGCGATCGTCAACAAACACAGTCGAGTGTGCATCTAGCCCCGCAGCTTTGAGAACTCGATCGAAGAATGCTTGCTCCGGCTTTCGTACACCCAGGCTAGCTGACGTGTAAACATTATCGAAGATGTCCCAGCCTCCAATCTTGGAGCGAACCATGTCATAGCTTTCGCTAGACATGTTGGTTGCAGCAATCACGCGTAGTTGGCTGCCCGACTTCTTTTTGAGATTTCTGACAGCTACAACGAGGCCTTCGTTGAGGGTCAAGGTCGACGATGCCAGCTGGATGGTTTCATGTAGGGCACCCTCCTCAAGTGTGAACCTCTTCGTTAAGGCATGATATACATCTGATACTTTCGCCTTACCTGACTCCAAGCTATGCCATTCGGATGATTCAAGAATGCGTTTGAATATCTTTGGTGGAATCGGAGCGTCTGGGACAGCAGAGAAGTTGCAGAAAACACCGCCGATGTCTAGCATCAAGGCACTGGGCCTTCCATCCACGCCACCCTTCTGGTACAATGGTAAATCAGCAAGCTACTCGCAGGATCTTTGGCGTTTTTCATTTCTCGAGCAATACCTTGGGTCTGCTTTTTGGAACTTCGCTGGGCGATGAGTGCTGTAATTTGGTCATAGTATCAAAACTCATATGCAGAGAGTAGAAGCGTCTAGAGAAATTGAGGAACTATTGAGAGACTGACTTTATTAATGAAGGAAGACGTGGATGGCGGTATCATGCGATTCATATATTCTTCAACGGGGGAATAGTAGACAACCCCTTTTAGGACCAGATAGACGTCGCGATGGGGCAGGCCTAGAGCTTCGACGTTGTTGACCTGCATCAGACTATTGACAGAGATCGTCCCTTGCCACTTCTGACATCCGTACGAGCTTTTCAAAAGTTCCTGCATAGCTTTTTTCAATGCAACCTTGCCAAAAGCTCGTCACTGAGCTAATGAGCTATGGCAAGCGACCCTCGCTCACCCACTGCACGCCAAGTGGAGGATCTAACGTAAGCGCAGGCTGGATCCTACGCGAACTCTGACACATTGTGGGCTGAAAGTACAATGGTCTTACCTCTATCATGTTATTGGCTTAAAGTGCGAGAGAAAGGAACATATCTCAGATAACCATGCCAGTACTAATGGCTGATGAGTGGATGGTATCATGATGCCATTCTGGGCAATCAAGAATCTGAGATACAGATTTCAGCACACCGCCTACCTATTCACAAACGGAATGAACTTTCAGAATACACCGGAGAGACTAGCAGTTTGTCAGATTGTGTCCGCAGATCATCATACTGCTTTCTCGGTTACGGATTATCATGTGTAAAGCGCCCGCTTGCAGTCGGAACGTCTCGGGAAGACACATAGTCGGTAAGGAAACATGACCCTTCAACTATTAGTCGTCACTTTGAAATGTACATGCGTCAATCGCGACGCGTATGTTGATTTACATTGTCAATATTTTCTATCTTTACTTGTTGAGGCGGGGAGCTCTCTCCGGATCTCTCCAGTAAAGGCATGCCTCCCTCCGAATATCATCCTTCTCAACCTTGGTTCCATTATTAGGCTGAACGATAAGCTGCAGCGCAGGCTCCGACTCAAGCCCGTAGCCTGTGGGCTTGTACTGAGGCCACTCGGGGCTACCAGGATATCTGAAGGTATTCGGGTCACCAGACAGAACGAAGCTGGAAAGGTAACCGTGGTAAATGTGGCTGACCTCGGGGTACTGCACAACCGGCTCGTCCCAGGTGTACTTCGTGTCGGCGGTATGCGGAATACCCCTCCACGCCGGCCACGAGTTGTTCGTGTTGAAATGAAGCTTCCACGTCGGCACGCCAGCAATCGAGGCGCGGTACGCCGTCTCCTGTCCAGCGCAGATATACGCATAGTCGCTCCATGCGGCCGAGAGGCGGTTGTACTGCGTGCTGTTGGGAGAGTTGGCAAAAGGAGAGTCAGGGTGCGTGGCGGGGTCCGGGTAGAGGTCCTCAAGGAGCTGCAGGTCGGTGCTGTTGAGGGCAGGGGAGATGTTGTGAAGGTAGTCGAGGAACTCCTGGTTCGTCTCCTTGTCGCCGGCCATGTAGTACTTGGCCTCGTCGTTGACGTTAGACGTGATGACGGGGACCTTGAAGAATGTGCCATCGTAGCCTGACTGCGAGCCAAACTTCTCCAGCAGAGGGCCGCCTTGCGTGGGCTGGAATGGCCAAGTCAGAGCCGGATCGTAGTCGTTGTACAGCTTGGTGCTGATGTTGCGGATCGCATCAACATCCGCGGCACGGAGGCAGGCCAGGGTCGCGGCGTTGTCGGCGTCGAGTGGGCAGGAGAGGTAGTTCATGTACTCCTCGTACTGCTTGATGTAGAGCGGGTATGTGGCATTGGGAAACGCACGAGCGGTTACGGCACCAGACTGGTGAATGGCTCTTGCAAAGAGAGGCTTGTTCTCATCCTCATTGTAGTTGTGAAAGTAGAGGATGCCGACGGAGTGGCCACCAGCAGAGCGACCGCCGATGGTTACGGAGTCCGGGTCGCCGCCGAATGCGGCAATGTGTTTCTGCACGAACTGGAGGAAGAAGTGCTGATCGCGCATACCGAGGTTCAGCAGTCCTTCCTCGTCGAAGAGAGCCGAAGGCAGGAAACCCAGCGAGTTGATGCGGTAATGGAAGTTGACAACGGTGATGGGCTGCTTTGATGAGGCGGCGAACGCAGCGCCGTCGAAGCTCTTGTAGCTGCCCGCATAGAACGCGCCGCCGTGAATCCAGACCAACACAGGTGTCTTCTGGTCGAGCGGGATACCACGCGTACGGTAGACGTTGAAGTTGAGGCAGGCCTCATCTTGGGTGCTGACATCGGTCGAAGTCGGGTCCTGGACGCAGGTCTTGCCGTACTTTGTCGCCGCTTTGGTACCGTTGAAGGATGCGGGCCAGGTGACGGGGTTGAAGCGGCCCTCGCCAACCGGCTGCGTTGAGTAGTTGATGCCGAGCCAGGCGTCGACGGGGGCGGGGAGAGCGCGGCCGCTGTAGGTCGAGTTGACGACGGTGCCGGTGAACTTGCCGTAGCCCTTGAGTTCGACGGGGTTGTACGCGGCGGCAGCTGGCGCAATGGCGACTTGCGACGCCGCAAAGAGCGTATTGAAGGACGTGGAGAACTTCATGTTTGGCGACGTGCTCGATCTTTCGTCTCCGGATACTGCTGTTGCTTGACCGCAAGAGAAGATGGCAAAAAGAGTGCACACCACCACCGAGAGGCAGGGCCGGCCATCGCGGAGCTTTAAACGCATTTTTGAATGCCCTCGTTGTCGTTTTGCCCCTCCGCTTCTTGCTATCAAGGAGACAATTTCCTGGCGACCCGCTCAGAAAGCAACCTCTCGCCGCTCGACGGAGACAGCATTAACCCATTCGAAGCATTGATCGGTCAAGATGAGAGGTTTAACAGAGGTAGATTCCTTGACTCAGGCACTCACAGAGCCCGCACAGCGGAGAAGTCCCGAGCGACTGGGGCAACGAGCACGCTAGAATGGCGCAGATCGATGTCATTCAGCGAGGGGAAAAACAAGTCGGGGTCGCTCCGATATCGTCGGCCTTCACATCTGGGGTCCGGGGACCCTGGGGTTTTCTCAGTGAATTCAGTGTGAGCAGCCAGTTGAAAGTGATTTAATGTGATAAGCATCGTAAATGACTAAATCAGCTAACGACACATTCACCGAGGGGCCCCGCAACGTTATCCTTGATCAATGGGCCCAACCTCCCCGTCCAAGATGCTAGTCAACGAAGCAGTTGGGGAGCTCCGGTTTGTGTTTGTGGGGTTGAAGCCGGCTGTGCTGTTGAGAGAGAGGATAGGAGTTAGGACATGATAACGATATCTTGCCAGACTTCCGTCATCCGAATCCTTCTTCCGCGATCCGATATCTTTCAACATTATTCTTCTCAGTTGAGAGACGTCCCGTATGCTCTTGAGTTCGGCTATCGATGAGACAGATTCTAACGCTCAGGAACGAAGCACGTCAGCATGGCCGTGCGCTAGAATCACCATCAATTGGTTGCTATCATTGGCCAATTCGTTATTTCGTGTCTTCAAGCTAAGGTCAGGTCCAAAAGTCACTGTTCTAGCTAGCCCATCATCTCATCATCCTCGTCATCATCATCATGTCCTAACCCAGCCTCGATGAATGTCGCCCGAGTTCTCTCCACGGCCTGGATGAATTCTTCTCTGCGGAAAGCATTGGGCCATCCATGCTCAGCATACAGCCGTTTTATCTCCTATACGCCGTGAGAGAATGTCTTGATCAGTCACAAGTCTGGAATTTCAGTTGCTGATGAACTCACCTGGCCTTCCTCGGTGTACTCCTCGACAACTCTCGCCTCCCATTTTCCAGAGCGGGGTGCTGGCACAACATCCAAGTTGCCGACCTGGGCATGGATCTTGTCAAAGTAAGCCTGGATGGGAACGGGATCCACAACAAGCCACTGCTTGTCTTCGGGAACATCCTCTTCGCGCTTGTCGAACTCGGTCCCGTAAGGATAGATGCACCCTGTGAAAGACTATGCGTCAGTATCAGAGCACTCAAGATGCCCGAGCTCAGCAAGCAAAGCTTCACATAATGCACGTAGTAGCTAACCTTGATTCGTGTCAATCAACCACCAAGTCCCCTCATCCGCATGCGTCAACGAGACCATATCCGCCGGCACGGGCCCGTCGAACGGCGCAAACCCTAGGTCCAAAAGCGGCGTGTTCGCAAATTCTTCACCGCTACTGTTGCTGCCGCCGCCGAACCACCGCCCGTTGCGTAGGTACCGCAGCGGGAATGTCTCGGTGTACACCTCAACAGGGTCCGACTCCTCGTTCTCATGAACGTAGGGAATGTGCCGCAGGAGATCGATAACGGTCTCGGAGCGGCCCATGGCCCGGAGAGCATCCACGCGGAGCTCTGCGTCACTCCAGCCGGCGACGGGAGGGAGCTCGACGGCCGAAACGTCCATATAGCCCATGCGGACCAGGAGCTCGTAGTGCCTTTTGAGGCAGTTGACGACAACGTTGCGGTCGTAGCTGGCCATTTTTTCTGATGTTTTTCTGTTAACGAGTGTTTGTCTTCGCAGAAAGTATGAAACTGTTGCAATAGGCAAACAATGAGGAGTTGGAGGCATGCAGATGAGATTTTCACTGAGCGGTCCCTGTGTGGGGCGCATCATTCGAGGCCGAAATGCACTGGTCCTTTCTTGAGCCAATGACTTGATTCAGCAACTGTTCTGTCCTGTCTCCAAATCATTGCATGGTGTTTTGGAAAGTCGTTCTCAATTGATTCATCGCATTTCATTTGGACACGGTGAGTTTCATCCTGACCGAAATAATCTGCCGCATTATCTTCTACGCAGGTGAGCTCACAATCGCACCGCAACGAGAAGGGATCCATGGATAATACCTCTAAGCTTGTATTTCAAGTGAAGAGGATGAGTTGAAGGCTGTCATCTATGGATACGAGCGAGCTTGAAGCTTGACCAATCCGCACGACCGGCATTCAATCGTCGATTATGAAGATTACACACGCCAACCATAAATTACTCCAGTGTCCTCAAATCTTTCGAGGCTATGGCCGAGGGTTGAATGTGATATTTCACTCATTACCCACCCGGCCTACTTGTCTCCAATGGCAACAAAGGGGATTTTTCCACTCTCCTTCTCATTTTGTTCAACTACAGCTCATAAGCACGAACTTATTCTCTTTATTCCTTTACAACTCCCCCTTGTATGATACCGTCAGTGAGGTTCGAGTGACTAATTGTCATCTTTTGGCGGCATCTCTCATGACCTCAATCAATCTAGCCCAGCCAATGGCTCCACAGCAACCCATCTGAACCATTTACAAATACCAGAGTGATATTGCATGCACAGGAAGGCATTTGCATGGATCATGATATCACTTTCCGAGGGTTCAGTTTATCGGCAGTGTCGCGAGTTGAGTCGCTAATATGTGTCACCATCAATCGAGAGCTGCCTCAAAAAGCTGCAGCGCCATTGACTGATGCAGTGCAGCGACTAGCGGATATTTAATCAGCCGATTTTCGCACCTCACGTATCTCGCACATCATCGCTACAGCACGCGATCTCACCATACACAAGTCTTGGAGACGAAACCTCGAGGATCACACTCTCATTCATCTCATTCAGATAACATATAGGTTCACCATTCAAAATGGCGACGATACACACCTCCGTGCCAGAAGGCCTCATCCCCTTCCTCGAATCTCACCTCCCAAATTCCCTCGTCCTCCTCCGCCGCCTCCAATTCACCCGCTTCAAAGATGGCAAGCGCCCGACGGCCCGCATCATCCTAGCATCAGACTCACCACTCTTACCCTCGAAACAAGATGCCGACACATCAGACCAACAGCCACGCAACTTCTGCGCAGCATACCTCGACTTTGGCAGCACCAAAGAAACCCAACTTTTCATGTACTCAACCTTTGAAGACAGCCCCAACAAACCTCTCACGAACGAAGACGAGAAAACAGCCGAGTCCCAAATCACGGCAATTCTCGACGCCGTCACACAAGTAAGCAAAGAACAGCCAGACAACAGAACCCTACCCGGCGCAGTCCTCGTCGGGACTCTGGCCACAGCCACCCGGGACACCATGCTCCGGGCCGGCGTACGCGTGACGCCCCGTCAGGACTATGAGTATGAGAAATGGCTGTTCCGCGTCGATGATATTCCTGATTTTGAGGACGGGGTGACGTTGCCCGAGGGAGCTACGTGGGGCCCTGCTACGGAGCGAGATTGTGAGATCGTAGTCTCGAGGACGGATATTCCGCGTCAAGTGTGAGCTTGTCCCACTTTCTTCATGGTGACTTCGAAATGGAGTTCGACTTTTGAGATTGAGAGAATGACTAACGTCTCGATAGAAGGACACTATTGTCTTGGCCGAGTTTGATTCTCAAGCTGGAGGATGGAACGCCTATCGCGTGGTCATTCCTCGGTGAGTGTTCAATACGTTCAAATTACTCCGTGCCGTATCTTTCGCTCCCGTCATGATTTGTTTGCATATGCCTATCGCTTCTGAACGACATTGCTAACTCCTACTTAGGTACTGATGCTTCTCTGTCAAGTCTCCACTGCGAGGTAAGTTGCGCAACATCCTATCATATCGATAATGAGTGAATACTCCGCACCATTGTCTTTTGGTCTAACAAACCACCCTCAGCCACCATACCGACAGCGAGGCTACGCAAAGGCCCTCGCATCGAAGCTGATGAAGCGGAGCTCCAGCGAGTACGGCGCCGACGGTTGGGCGTCCGCCGATGTGGCACCGTATAATACGGGGAGCAAGAAGATGTGCCAGAGTCTCGGTGGGAGGCATACGTGGAACGTTTCGTGGTGAGTCACCCTCGTCTCTTGGAAATCACGCTCAAAGTGCTTCAACTGACGGCGAATTTGATAGGAATGTTATTCACCTCCACGATACATAAATCGAGATTTGAAGGGGGCCGTTCTAGAAATTTGCTACACATCAGATGTTTATATCGTCTCTTTACGTTGATGTAGACCTAAATTCACCTGTATATCCAGATTAGAGCTGCAACAATGCCCTATGGTCGATCTGTTTTACTCAGTAAAAGAGGTTGATATTCTTCTGCAGGTTCTCGGTAGAGAGCGTGCTGGGTAATAAGATATTATTTTTGTGCTTTCCCTTGATATGTCCTACTCCGAAAAAGTGCCAGCTTCAAGAATCAAGTCTTCTTGGCTGTGTGCACTCCATGTCTTCACCAAGCCTGCTCCGTTCTCCAAGAGCTCCCGCATCCCATTAAAAATAACTGAAATCCTCAACTCCGGTACAATCCGCCGGTGACAGCTGTTTGATAAACAATCTCTACTACCACCTCTCAATCTTTCCTCCCTCGGAGATGCAGGGCAGTGGGGTGCCCGGCTCGTTGACAGCTCCCAGTTCCCACTAAGCTAAACCGGATGAACGGTTGTGGTGGGGTGGCATGTCTCGGTCAGAACCTAAGAGTATTGCCAACCAACCCCATCCGGATCTGCAACGGGTGTGGAAGATGCCGCCCTCAACAAGAAAATTTTCCCCACGTCGCGATGGGCGCATGCAACGCGCACACAAACGACAGCCGTCGAGAGCCGAACTCCATCCGTGAGTCACCCGTTGGCAAACGCTCCGGTCCACTCCTCTTCCCATCTCGCCTGTCTCCATCAACCCCGCACTAGGACAGCATACAGCGTACAGCGTACGAGCGTCCCATGTCGGTCGGTTGCACTTAGAAGTCGGCACCGGGGAGGTGGTAGAGCTTCTGAACGTCGTGGAGCATCTTCTCGTGATCAATCTCCAGGTCCTTGAGGAGACCGTCGTTGAAACCAAAGACCCAGCCGTGGACGATGGGGAACTTGTTCTTGGCGTACGACTGCTGAATGGCGGCCGTCTTGATGACGTTGCGGCACTGCTCGAGTACGTTGAGCTCGACGAGTCGATCGTAGCGAGCATCCTCCTCCTTGATAGCGTCGAGCTCAGCCTCGTGCAGGCGGTAGACGTCGCGAATGTTACGCAGCCAGGGGTTGAGCAGACCGAGGTCCTTGGGTGTCATGGCGGCCTTGACACCTCCGCAGCCGTAGTGGCCGCAGACGACGATGTGCTTGACCTTGAGGTGGCGGACGGCATAGTTAATGACGCTCATGACGTTGAGGTCAATGTTATTGACCATGTTGGCGATGTTGCGGTGGATGAAAGCTTCACCGGGCTCGAGGCCGGTGATCTGCTCGGCGGGGATGCGCGAATCGCTGCATCCGATCCAGAGGTACTCGGGAGCCTGGCCCTGGGACAGACTGACGAAGAAGTTAGGGTCCTGCTTCTTTTTCTCCTCGGCCCATTTGCGGTTGTTCTCGAAGACGCGGTCGTGCGTCTGCTTGAGGTACTTTTCAATGTCGCTTTCAGCCATCTTGCGGTCGGGTCTGAGTGAAGGAGGGGTAGACGATGATGAAGGTGCGCGTTTGTAGGCGATGTGGGAGAAGTTAGATGTCTGGTGGCTGTTTAGGTGTTGTTGCTGAGCTCCAAAGGTGGTGTTGGTGAATCTGAGGAGAGGACGTGAGGATTGCGCAGGGGAGAAGAAGAGGCGGGAAGGGAGGGAAGGCGGGAATGGGTTCGCTTTAAACATTAGAGGAGATTTATTTATGGAAAGATCGAGAGAGTGCGAAGCTAATGGAGGAGTCCTAATGGAGGACGTAGCTCGGTGTTTGCTGCAGGTAAGCGGACCTTTGAGCTGGCGGGAGCGTAGAGGTTGTCAGGTCGGAGCAATGGCAGCCAAGGAACCCAAGGATGAAGGAAATGTCGCACCTTTCCTTCTTCCCACGGAAGATTTGTTGGGAAGGTCCGGCGATCGCGCACCGCTGGCGGCTGCACGCGCTGCCGCTAACAGAGGACCACAAGGAACCACAGAGACGTCACTGCGCAGCCTTCAGGACGGTGTCGGGGACGGTGCGTGGACGGTGCGGCCTCCTCCTTGATAGTCCGGCGCTCCGGGCGGGTTGTTGGGGTGACGAGCAGGCTAATTGCAGTTCAACTTGGGTCAAGATCATCGTGGATGGGGACCTCAGCCATGGTGGATGACTCGAAGTGTTTGTACAGTGCAAAAAGGAGAAGAGGCGGGGGAGAGAGGTGAGTGCCGGCAGATACCATCGTAATCTTGGCGAAACGGATGAACAAAGGTTGATCTAGACTTCTTTCTAATGATACCCAGCCAAAGGCAAAGGAACAGGGGAATGATCGATCTCGGACGGCTAGATCTGGCTGATTGTCTTCCACTCGATGCATATATAATTGGGTTCTAGCAGCGATGATCCTGCCGGGACAGGGAGAGCAACGGCCACACAAGTTTCAACTATCACTCTCGATCTCTTGGCTTATAGCACGCGACGGGATATTGTCCGGTCTTTAATCCAGCCAAGACGGTCAATTCTCCTTACCTAGGCTGGTCTGGATCAATTGGTTGACATTCAATTCGCATGTGCCAAAACCGGATGATCTTTCCGGTTGAGTCAGGGAACTAAACACACGCAATCTGTCTTCCAGCTGACCAGGTCTATCTGCGCATGAATGCGGCACGATCCCGAAAACCCGGCACCACGGCCCCCGAAGAATGCCGGCGTGTCCCCATAAATCCCGTAGCCCGGCACCAAAGGGCACCGGCCGCCGCCCTCCTTGGTCCGGACGCCAAACCGTTCCATCTGAAGCACCAACTCGTCTCGCTAGAGAAATCCCATCAAAGTGCCGAACCTTGCAGATGATACCCCCCATATCTCAAAACTCAACGGGTCGCCGCGGACATGAGAGCGAGCGCAAGGAAGGGGACCCAGCGGGATGTGCAAGCGCCAGGACCTCCATGGGCACAGTGCCGACCACTCCTCCCACCATCATCACCGAAATCCTTCCGACCAGCTCAGGCCCCAACCGTCCCCGGAATTCGTGCCATCACGACAGCACGCAACCACACAACCACACACCCAAGGGTCACGCCAGCAGAGCCACTCTGCGCACCCGGTCTGATCACTCAGTCCAGTGAGAGACGAGACTGCTTTTGCTCTTGAAACCGGAGCCAAGGGGAAACCCCTGCATTGTCAGTGTGCCGGCGCCGATAAGCTTGTTACCTTTCTCGGCCGACGCCACCAATGGTTCATCTTGTCATCCACCAAGAGCCTCACAGAGCTACGGGCACATCCTTCGTCTTAGGAGGATCTAACCAGCTGTCATGATGATAGATGGCGGTATCTATGGCGGCTAAAGAGCAAGTATCGAGACATCTGGGCCCTACAAGATGTTTATTTCCTAGAGTGACAAGATAATGAAGATTGAAAGCTGTTCCTTACTCGCAGGACAGTCGCAATGAAGTTTCCTGGTTGCATTGCAGATCGCTCAGGTTGAAGGCAAACTCATCACCGTTTCAAGACGAGGAAACAAGGCGTCCCGTGAGCGCAAGTCACGCATAATAAGCATTCGTCGCATTCTTGCATGCTAGTGTCCAGTGCTGATTCCTGATACATAATTATGGCAATCCCTCTTTTCCGCTTCCTGATCATAACTGGTTCCCCGAGTGAACTTCCATTTCCTTCATAGATGCCACCAGTTGGTATTTTGTAATACAACTCCGCTCTGGTAAACGAGTCCTTTCTCTGGTGTACGAACAAAGACATGGTCGCTTTGGACTTCTCAAGAGGCCTCGGCCTGGTCGCCACCATCTTGGCCCTGTCACAAGCAGTTGACGCCGCCATCCTTCCTCGGCAGAGCAATGATGCCCTTCGACCTTGGGTGACGGTCCAAGCCGATGGCGCAGCCAAGACAATCACCCCGACCGTCAACGACGGCAAAACCACGTCTGCTTTCACTGGCAGCTCGACTCTACCCACAGCAGACGCCAATGGCGCCGGTTCCTTCCTTCTATGCAACCAGGCTGCGGGAGCCAACGGCGTTAACCAGCCCTTCTGCTCTCCCAAGGCTGATAGCAAGGTTGATGGAGGCAAGACCTATTGGAGTAAGCATCATCTTCATGAACGATACCCAACTCATGGGCATCGCTAACGTGGAACTAGTAACATGGGACACCAGCCTCTTCCCCTTGCCCAACACCATGGTCCAAGTCCAGGGTGACTACGGCGTCACCAACGCCATCGACCCAGGCCACGGCTTCACCTCCCAAATGCTCCCCGCCTCTCAGGGTCACTTCGCTTGGGCAGCAGTAGGCTACAACATGGCCGCCAACGAATCCCTCACCGTCCAAATCTTCCTCGCCCTCCCGCAGACGAACGGCTCGATCACCGCCCGTCACCCGGGAGCTAAGGTCAGCATCGTCAACCGACCTCAAAACGACAACAACAATAACCAGAGACGACGCGGACCGAACGTCTTTGGTATCGTTCTTCCCATAGTCTTTGGCGTGCTGTCTCTCGGCGGCATCGCCTGGTTCGTTTGGTGGTACGGCCGCAGAAAAGGCATGTTCTCGTCCCGTGGCGGGGGCTACGGCGTCGGCAAGAGCCGTGGCCAGAGGACGGCTGACGTGAAGATTGGACTTGGAGATAATGCGTTCTCGTCGCCTGATCGCGGTGTCGAGATGATGCCGCCGCCGCCCAGACCGCCTCCGCCCTCATCTTCGGAGGGCAATGTCTTCCGTAATGAGATGAGTAGGCAAGAGAGGAACGAGAGGGCGCAGACCATGATGTGAGATCAATTTCAATTGTCCTTGATAGGGTCAGGGAATACCAGATTGTACGACTATGAGGTAAATGGACACTCGTTAGTTTCTGTTTGGGGAGTTATTGTGCGACAAACCTGGAACCATAACGTTACTTTAATCCAATGTAATACCCCTTTATCTAGAAAGAATAACCAAATGAGAAAATTACCGAAGAAAAATCACCATGGACGTTAGCTGGAGCAAAGCCTGCATTCTAAAGTAGAAATAGGTGAAGATTGAGTATCGTCTACCATTCAACAACTTCAGTCTCTAATTTCAGAACCAACATCGAGGGAATCTCAACAATTTGACGCTTTCCTCTTGCATCCTCCAAAGGCTTCTCACAGGCAGGCATCGGTCTTTACCCTCATCACCAAATAGCTCGAGGCATACGAAAGAAGTTGAGAGGTGCCCAAGATACATGCTTGAATTTAACCATAGACTCATTGAAGATGGAGAAGTTTCATTGCAGGAAGCCGTGTTCAGATATCGTACACATCACCCAACTCGATTCTCATCTCCTCACCGAGAACTCGCCGAGACCCTCACCGAAGACAACTGACCGAAGACCAAAAGGAGACAGGCGCATGCTGGAGGGTGGATACGAGGGTGGGTTTGACGGTCCACTCAGAGGCTCTCGAAAAACTGTGGAGAGATACTGATAAGCACAGACCACCCAAGGGTTTTCAAACCCCAATCACTCCAGGATCCACCCACCGGAAATTCTGACGGCGCATCTCGAATTGCGTGTGTGTGTCTGCCGCGATCGACTTTGGAACTTTTTCTCCCCTTCTTGACCCCGTCCGCTCGAGCATCAACTAACCCGACCGTCCTTCACCCAACGACAACAGTCAAGATGTCCGCCGCCTTGAACAAGATCGCTGCCAACAGCCCCTCGCGGGCCAACCCCTCCGAGCTGGAGACCAACATTGCCCAGGCTCTGTACGACCTTGAGAGCAACACCGCCGACCTCAAGGTCGCCCTCCGCCCTCTGCAGATCGTCTCTGCCCGCGAGGTGAGAACTACCTGAAGCGATATATTCTCAAAGTCCTGAAGACTTCCGGCCCGCGAATTCTCCGGAATCGAAAATCCTGTTCCCAGCCGCCGCGGAAATTCAAGCATGAACAAGCACGAGCATGGGCAACCACACCCCCCAATTGACGAGCGCGATGCGAAGCAATGGAATCCCCGAAGCCTTTCTCTCGATTGAAACATATCAGGATTGAAGAGGATCAAAAGGGAAAGAAATTGCTGGCGTTGGAATCGCGCCTTCAAGTCTTGGGAGGTGCTCATGACTGTGTCTTCAGCTACACCGTGGCGGCGGAGATTTGAATGCTGAAAAGAATGATAATCTCAGGAACAGGACGGGAAGCGGTCCAAGGCATCGTCCTGGAGCTCGCATGCTGACTTGTGATCTTCCTATAGATCGAGGTCGGCCACGGCAAGAAGGCTATTGCCATCTTTGTCCCCGTTCCTTCCCTGCAGGGCTTCCACCGCGTCCAGCAGCGGTAAGTTTTCTTCTACTAAACCCACCTTCATCATCAAAAAACTAAGTCCATTCACAGCCTCACTCGTGAGCTCGAGAAGAAGTTCTCCGACCGCCACGTCCTGATCCTGGCTTCCCGCCGCATCTTGCCCCGCCCCAAGCGCTCCGCCCGCTCCCGCAACAACCAGACCCAGAAGCGCCCCCGCTCCCGCACTCTCACCGCCGTCCACGACGCCATCCTCACCGACCTCGTCTACCCCGTTGAGATCGTCGGCAAGCGCCTCCGCACCAAGGAGGACGGATCCAAGCTCCTCAAGGTCATCCTTGACGAGAAGGAACGCGGCGGTGTTGACTACCGCCTCGACACCTACTCCGAGGTCTACCGCAAGCTTACCGGCCGCGGTGTCACCTTCGAGTTCCCCCAGTCCGGCTCCGCCGAGTTCTAGATTGTCTTTGTCTAGTGTCTTGTGCATGGGCGGGTGTTTGGTGAAAATAAAAAAGGAATCATGGTCAATGATGGGTTTGGCATTTCGTCTGCTGCAATGAAGGCATGACAATGACTGGTTGGTCAAAAGGGTCTGGCGTCTAAAGGGATATAGCTTGGGCGATTCAATTACAGGCTGCCCAAAAAATGCATATACAAGAACACTTGACCGCTCCTTCTTAAATAACTGTTCCCAACATTGTATGACCAGTGATCTTTGCTTTATGCCATTTCGTAAAGTGTAAAATTGGGGGGTATCATTCTTTATTTGACGTGAGTCTAGTCCTGGTTGATCCGTCCGACTCCCAAGACACACCAGTAAGCCAGCTCCCTCTTTTCCCTCGCCTCCTTCTCCCTGCTTGTCGCCGTTCCGACATCGCCTTGAGCCTCAGTCTCCCACTCGATGCGCACAAACATGGGTATCTCCAACACATCCTCATCCTCGCGAAGAGCGCCGTCTCCACTACCGCCACCTTGCTGATGTTCAGGCCTCAGAGAAGCCGGCACAACCTCCAACACAATGCTGACCCAATTGCGGCCACGCTCGTAAATCTTGCCCACCTCAGCCTGCTGCATCCCGCCCTCTTCACCCCTCCTGCGCTCCTTGTCGCCGTCGTCCTTGAGGGCATCATCCCACATGTCTGTGTTGGCATCGATCTCGAACTGCGGACACAGCACCGTCACAGTGCTGGCGAATCGGCCAGGCGTGCTCGACGGTGTGGCCAGCGACACCTTGACCGTCTCGAAGATGGGGTTCTTGAAGGTCAGGAGATACTGCACGGGCTTGAGTGGCGTAAGCCACAGTTCCTGGGGTATCGGAGGCCGAGCGGTCGAGGGGAGGTTCTGGACCTCCGACTGCAGCGGTCGGATGGTGATTGTGGGAATGTAGCTTCCGGCCACGAGGCGGATGCGGAACCGCGTGTTCGAGATCTTTGCCTCCGGCTTGCTGATGATGTGTCTGCAGAGCGGGCATCTCTTGGATCGCTTCGTTCTTAGGAGATAGGGGACGGGCCGGAGCTCGTCTCGGAAGCGTACGTGGTCTTGCTGCAGACAGTTCTGGGCTAGAGTGGTTGTATCGTCGGGATGCGTATGCCTGAGTTTCTCAATCTCTTTTGACTCGTCCAGATCGGTTGTCTTCAAGCCCTCGTCAGGACTGACGGCCTCCCTCATGATCTGCACCTTACCACGGGCCTGTTTATTACTAAAGTTGTTCCCGGTATACAAACTCATGATGCGTGACAAGGAGCCAGGCGAATTGAGGCCTAGGTCACCCAGTGATGAAAGTCCACCCGCTGAGGGGTTCGAACTGGCCATCTGGTTCTGATAGAAGGACTTGAGTTGCGCAAACTGTAGTTCGACATCCATGTCCTCTGGGTTCAAGTGGTATTCCCCATTGCTCTCCTTTTTCCTCTCCTTGTGCTCCTTAGGAGTCAGCTTGGGCTGGCCTCCATTCTGTAACTTGGCCAACTGCCCGTGAATGCCATTGGGTCTGTCGAATTTGACGCCGATCTCGGTTGAACTCCAGTTGCAGTATGAACATGACAGGACGT